CCAAGCTGGCTGACTGTTACAAAGCTGTTTAAAGGCATGTTTATATTCTACACTGATACACTATGGTATTCTTAAAGTTTTTTTGTTGTTGTTGGTTTTATATTGTTTTGTTTATGATCAGTCCATGGAAAGCATAAAGCTATCATTTACTTTTATGGGTGATGCCATTTAAAAGCAGCTGTAGCGTATCTGTAAAAATAACAGTATACTATATTTTAAATCAATGCAAATTGATCAGAACCAATAAGGTGAATAGACTAGTTATCAGAATATAGATATGACTCATGAAACAGCAGACAGACTAAAATTTTGCAGTTGCGAGTGCCTTGTATTTATAGTGAGGAAAATTATATGCATATTTACAACATCAGTGAAACATCCAAATGACCATATAAAATGCACAAAAGTGAAAAAAACAAAATTAATCAATTCCACAATTAATGAACCCACATCTCTTCAGTTCATTCACTTTGTTTAAAGGTCCCAAGCAAGTTCCTTTTAAAGTTGATGCAGTGCAGGACAGGTCATGGAGACAAAAGTCAGGGCAGAGTGGAAACAAAATTGTTTGTTGGCTGCAAGGAGCCTCCTACCAGCTTGGCAGGAGATCGAAAGTCTTCATGCACTCAGAAGTGCAATCTTTCTGGGGCTCTAGGCCTGGACCTTCAGCTCGCCATCAACACCTAGCCTGAATAAAAAAAGAGGACCATTTTCTCCATATAATATATATATATATATATATATATATATATAAAATCAAAACATTCTAGTGTGCACACAAATTCAGATTCAGTAAGTGGCACTCTTTGCACTACAGATAATTCTAATTCCAAACAATAATTTTCAGTCAATATGCATATTCAATGAATATAAAGTTCTATATAAATTACATCCATGAAAAATCCAATAAATATGCACTATGTAAATTAGCTCAAATGAAATGTATAGAAAACCTAATATAGACAAGGGCTCAATAAATATTTAAGTCGCCTCATTGTTCACATATGAGTTGTTCAAAGCTAGTATGCTAGACAACAAACAAAGACATCAATGAGCTAATGTTAAGCGACACAGGAGAAACACTCACCAATTCCATAGTTTGTATCTCACACAAACAGGTTTTTTTCCATCTCATCTTGGCTAAGTAGTCAGCTCCTGCAGCTCTGCTTCTCCCAACATGCCCTAATCTTTCATATTTCCCCACTCCAACTCATATACCTAACAGATAGGCTGTGGTACATGTGACCCTGATACTCAACAGCAATTGGCTGTGTAGTAATGAGGGGATGGAAGTTAAAAATGACACAGATGTGACCACTGTGATCTTTCTCCATTATCTATACATTTAACAGGAAATCACTGGGATTTACACCCAGGTTACACAGCTCACCTAGAGATTCATCTCCTTAAAGTCAAACAGGAAAAACATATGTCTGAAGAAAAATCCTATTACACAGATTTGCTGAAATCAATATATGCTGCTTTACATCTAGGTTAGGTGGAGTCAATAGCTGTTACAGATTCAGGTATCCCTGGCATTCAGCTTTACACCCCTGCTGACAAAATCTCTTTCATCCTTTTTATCCTTAGTAAATGCGGGCATCTTTCTGGCTATGGAGCTTTGGAAGAGTATTCATACATTTTAAACTTTCTCTATTTTGACACATCCCATTTCTAAAATTTAATGTCCTTTTAAAAATATCTATTATGTATTAGACCAAGACAGAGTTGTGCATAATTTCCATCTAAAATAAGAAAAATGACATAGTTGGAATCTTCAAATGCAGACATAGAAAAAGAAGCAAAGATGCAAAAGGCAACTGTAAACCAGCTCCACAGGCGGCTCCATCCAGGAAATATAAGCCAGGCAGACGAGCTCTGAGCCAGCTCCCATGTCAGAGGATGAAGAGAGCACATCCAGTCAGTCACAGTCAGAGAAACAGGACTGCTCTGACAAACAGGCCGATCTCCATCATCTATAAACAAAGGTGTTGATGGCAGCAGCACAGCTGATATTTCTCTCCAGGATGGAGTCACAGCCAAACAGGAACAGACCAGATGAAGCTACTATGAGAAAAAGCAGAGAGAGCATAGTGTTAGAGATTGAACTAACACATTCTACACAGTGGGAGAATGGAGATAGAATGAAGCAAAATGATGAAAAAGGGGTCCCTATGTCCTCCAGCGGTTTAAGTCTATAGCAGCATAACTATAAAGATAGCTCAGGATAACCTGAGCCAATCTAACTACGGTATAAGCTTTATCAAAAAGGAAACTTTTAAACCTACCCTTAAAATTAGACATGGTGTCTGCCTCACAGACTAAAACTGGTAGTTGGTTCCACAGGAGAGGAGCCTAATAGGTAAAAGATCTGCCTCCCATTCTACTTTTAAAAAATTCTAGGAACCACTAGTAAACCTGCAGTTTGAGAGCGAAGTGCTCTGTTAGGAACGTAAGGAACAATCATATCTCTGACATAAGATTGAGCTTGGCCATTTAAGGCTTTATATGTGAGAAGGGTGATTTTAAATTCTATTCTGGATTTAAAAAGAAAGCCAATGAAGAGAAGTTAGGAGGGGAGAGATATGATCTTTCTTTTTAATTTTCATCAGAACTTTGGCTGCAGCATCTTGGATCAGCTGAAGGCTTTTAATAATGACACATCCTAACAGACAGATACCAACTTGGTGTTATAGATGGTTTACTGTTATCATTAAGGTAAAATGACCCATCAGAAATGTTTTTTAGGGCTCATTCTTTATGTTTCTGATGCCAGTGACAGCTTTAAGGGGGTGCACCACCCAGTGCTGTAATTTTGTACAAATTTCTCTGCTAAACTTAGATTAAATCATGTGAAAGTTTCAGTTGTGTTTGAGAATCTATTACTATAAGGAGAAGCTTTATTTAAAGTGTCATTTAAAGAGCGATTGCTTCAGGCAAAAGAACTGGAAATAAACCATTAGGCATAAGCATCTTCTTAAAAAAAAAGGTTCCAGTCAGTCAATTATCAACATAGCCTGAATTATTTTCAGTATATATTTTATTTTATTTAACCAGGAAAAAAATTCCATTGAGATTTGAAACCTGTTTTTAAGGGAGTCCTGGCCAAGAGGCAGCAAAGTTACATAATAAACAGAGATACATTAAATTAAATGACAGGTACATAAAAAAAAGAAAAACATATCAAGTAAAACAATTACATATCATTGAAGCTGCTTCAAATTCTTTCACTTTCAACCTAAAAGCATTTAAAAATAAAAATTCAGTCAACTTCCAGATTCTTTGTAAAAAAAAACAAAAAAAAACAGGCAAAAGGAACAGTGAGCAACAGCTGATCGTGTTGCAGTTGAATGACAACATATGACTACATATGTACTTAAAAGGTAGTCCTACAAAAGAGAGATTTAGGCCGCAAAATATACACAGACATCCACCATAAGACTTATGAACTGCTTTGTCTGCCCTATAAAGAAAATATAGCAAGTAAAATGCATTGCTTGCAGTTGTAACAGGAAAAATTGTTAAAAACGATTAAGTACTCTGAGTTCCTTTGCCAGGCTCTGTGTGCATGAATTTATGAAATGCATGTTTTCACATTTCATTAACTTTCTGATTATAATGCTTCTTGCTCTATAACACCTCACCAGTGTGCAGGGACTAAGGAGGAAATCATGGCCTTCATTAGATTTTAAACAAGTGTCTCTTCCTCTGGAACACATCTGAAGTCGGAGGTCAAAGTCTGACCTGAATCCATTAGTCATGATTTATATTTTGATGAGACATCAGGAGCCTGATATACTCCATTCACCTGTCAGATGACCTGGAAGACCCCCACCCCCTAGCAATTGAAGAGCAAATCTTATTTTCTCTAGGTCTGCAGCTTCTGCTTTCATTTTCTTTAGCCCAGCATGATAGATCTAAAACTGTATTATGGAATAAACATTTTGCAAATGTTCTAGAATTTGCCAGCAGTAATATTACATCTCTCATAACAGAGAAAGGAGCATTAAAAATGGGTGAAATATAAGAAACAGAATGAGAGCAAGCATTGATTAAAGGAAGAAAGATGGGTATTTTGATTGTTTCCGTTTTCTTCCAAAAATGCACTGTGGGAAATATTTTTGTGAAGTACTGATTTTGACCACAAGAGGGCGCAAAGCAAATTTGAAGTGAATTTGAGGAGGCGTAAGATTACAAAGACCAAAAGATGCAATGCAAAAAATTGTTTTATATCAGAAATTCTGGACCATTTGGAGCAAAACTGAGAATGTAAGAGGTTTTTGATGTGCAACTTGTAGAACACAATTTGTTTACTTCTACTTAAAATTTGAACAGGATTAAAAAAACATTGTACTTGTGAATTTTCTTTTATTCTACAATTACAAAAATTATAATGTAGTTCTATTTCCAAATTGCAACTTCAAATTTACTTATAATGCACAAATAGTTTTGATTCAAAATGACCTTCATAATGTGTCAATTCTGTTGGCTCCGAACCAGAGCAATGTCTAGTTGAAGGGCTGATATATCATCATGGAGGTCCATCCTCTTAATCACAAAGTCGGATGCAAATTGATTACCCACCCTTTGTTCTTCTGGGTTGTTGGAGCCTTTTGTTGTGCATAGGCCATGGGATTGTCCTTTTGAATAATCATGAGGGGTCTTATGTAACCTCTGTGGAATGGGATCCATGACTGAATAATAAATGCCTTCACCCCTCTTTCAAACCATCTGTCCTCTCTGTCCAAAATCTGATGGTCCAAAAGCTAATGTGTGAAATTAAGGACCAATGGTGTCAAGATTGAATTGTTTCAGGATTTATCTTATCAATTTAGGAAGCTATAAAAGATCATTTTACAGTTTGATAAAAAAAAAAAAGTTGACACAATTTTAGACTTTCTACTTTGGTTTAGAAGCTTGAAGCTTAAACACTCAAGTTATTTTTTCCACCCAAGCTGTTTTGTTTATATTTTTTACATCAAGCATAAAATATACACAAGATACACTTTTTAAACAAGATTTATTTCCAGATTCAGGACAAAAAAATATATATTTTTTGCCTTTCCACACCTAGAATTAATGGAAATAACCATGTTTCCAACAACCATAGGGAATGAACATGAAGTGAACGAACAGTACATACATAATATTACAAGACCGTATTGATTGTAGCCGGTTAGGACTGTTTATCATGCTGCTGCTTGCAGGTTAGTGATATCGAACAGGTTTAGACATACATTCAACTATACCTTTGCATACATCAGATGGGAAAAACAATGACAAATGCATAAGGGGCACAATTTTATCACTGCAATGTCAAGACATAGCACATAAAAAAACTCAGTTTTATACATGATCCCAACATTGAAATACAGCATCTATTCTTGTTAATGTTAAATCAGGGTAAGCAGAGATAAGGTGGTAAAGCAGCCAGGAATAGAGGATGTGTATTTAGCTCGATTGATAAAACACCATGTAAGGTGTCAAAACTGAAAAACATTTATATATACGATTTTTTTTATTTTTTATTATTCAACCAGAAAACGTTTAATAAATCCAGCTGTCAAATTGGATTTTTTTTTTAGGCCGGTCTCTGGTTACAACTCAATTGTAATCTGTATTTCCTTTCCTGGCTGATTTCAGACAATGTCACCCTGTTTACAACAACCTCCACTCTAACACAGAGCTTTCTGTTTTATTTCTTTACATTTTCAAGAAACATTAGCAAGTTGCATCGTCACAGGTTTTGACTGTCTTAGAAGAAAACCTTCACAGTGTTGTGTCTTCCAACAATTTTAACAGATGCTCACTAAAGGCTACACTTACAAGCTAATTTTGGGTGTAATTTCTTGCTCTGCTGCTACAAAGAATCACGGCCTGGCCACATAATACAGCACTACCGAACAAAGGAAAAGGGTTATCTATGATTATATCAAAATGTAGCTTTATGAAATGCAATCTCCTTAAAAATGGCAGAAAATATGTTCCCAAAATAATAGCTCACAGGAACATACTGGAACATACCTGCCTGCGTTAAAACAGAAAGGCTACAGAGAACATGTTTATCTTTCATTTAGTTATTTCGGTTTTTAAAAGACTGTTATGTAAAAAATAATTCAGTTGATGACTATACAAGTAGCTTTTTAAACTCTTTTACACTAAGTAGATAGATTTCTTAACCACTGTTATGTCTCAAGGTTTAGTTTTTGGAATACAGAAGCAAAAAAAGTTCAGTAGTGATGGTTACAATTGGAAGAACCTCTTATCTACTGAAATTAAGGGTTTCAACATCTTTCTTTCCTCATCTGCTCAGTCCCATTCAGTTTAAGTGTGTGTCAGTATAATTTACAACCAAATCATATATGCTAGTGCTTATAGATTTCTCTACTGAACTAGTGTCGCACTGAGTAGACAGCTGACAATTTCTTATGAATGTGCACAACGTAGCTCAAGATGTTTTAGATTGTCTAAACAAGAAATTTTGTATCCATCTGGTGCTGAATTGCTATTGAGCACGCATGCCCAGCTCCAGCCATTGTCTTGCATGTTCTAGATGTGCCCCTGCTTTCCATCGACGATAAACACATTTCTGCTGAAAACCAATCATCCAAATAAGGGTTTTTTAACCCTGGTCTTCAGGGCCAACTGTCCTACATGTTGTAGGCGTTTCCCTACCTCTACACACCTGGCCTGAAGGAAAGGACGATTAACAGGCTATTGCAGCATCGGATGGCTGCAGAGGAGGTAATGGAATCATTTAAATCAGGTGTGCTTGAGTGGAGGTATCCAAAACATGAAAGGATAACAAACCCTGATCCAGCAGATGTGTTCAAAAAGGGAAACATCTAAAGCTGGTTTCCCCAATTCTGGTCATTCAGATTTAGTTTCCTGCACATTTTAGATGCACATCTGCTTCAACACACCCAAGTCAAATCAGGCTATTAGCATGATTCTGGAGAAGTTGACTGCATTATTTAGAAGGTAATTTAGCCATTCAATTCAGGTGTGGAAGTGCAGATGCCTCTAAAAGATGCAGGACATCGGACCTTCGGGATAAAGCAACCTTGAACTGAAGCATGCAGTACACATGCCCTTGACTGTCTTTGGACCCTTCTGCTGTACAAACTGCCTTTTCCTGACATGCAGTGGGAATAAAAATGATTCAATTCTGCAGATATTTTACACATACAGAAAAACATATAAAAGAGCACACAGTTTAAAAGTCCCTCTTTCTATTGTTAATCCTTGCTGGGAGGCAGGTCCTGCGGTCCTGACCGAGGCACAAAGGCTTGCTGCAGTCATCTGTTATTGTCTAACTCAGATGACCAATTTTAAATACATGTAGAAAAGCAAATTCACACACATACATACACAGGCACACAACCACCCAAATAAACATTTGCTCTCTTGATGTGAGAGTAAGGCTTGCAACAATCACTGAGATTGGATGTAGGAAGGCAGTGCATGGGGGGGGGAGGCAAACTTGAGTAAGGGGTTGTTTAAGCAGCCCTGCTTTCAGGCAGAGGCTCACTCTGGCTTACAGGACTGCCTTGTGGGTTGACCACTGTAGGAGGAGTCAGTGTGTATGGGGGAGGAGCTTCGCTGTTACGAATGGAATTTCCTCCCTCTGAAATGAGAGGAGTATTGTGGGAGGAGAGGAGAGGAGTGGGGCCAGTCTCATCGCTCCGGGCGCATTCGCTGTAAGGAGGTGGCTTCAGGTCATCCTCTGAAAGATAAAATAATAAAAGTTATATGCTTTTCTAGAAATATCTTAAACTCTACCATCAATTGATTAAAAAAGGTTTTTTATTTATTGGTCTCTAAAACCTATAGAGACCTTAGTCAAATCTCTTATTTAATTAACCTTTAGCCTAAAAACCCTCAGAGCTTGTTGAATCATCTGAGACCCTCTCAGGTTTATGTTAATGCTGGGATTGCTGTTGACATTTCATTTCGATTTGGTTCACTTGACCCGATTGAACTGATCTAGTTTAATAAAATACTTAAATCTTTAAAATTATACTACACAAAATTTATTTTGTGTAGTATAATTTTCCAAAGTTTTAGTTTGGTCTTGTTTTTACAAACATTCATATCAATCAGTTGCCTTTCATTATACAATTGTATACACTGTGCTCTTAAACTTATGACAGCTTTGAGTTTTTGTTTTATAAATGTTAATTCATAGTTATAATGACTGCCTGATTATTTGTCTGCTTGTTTAGCAAATGCAGTGCCCTTAAATTTGTGGTCTGTTTAATTACCACCATCATGAAAGTACTGCAAGAAATGCAGAAAAAGAAAGAGCTACATATCATAGTTACAACACGTTAGTGTCGCCAGGTTGAGAAATAATTAGTTGTTGAATAAATCTGAAAATGCTTTCTTTTTAAGTCAATCTATAAGAATGGGAAAATAAATGCTCATGTAAAGGTGAAGTACAAACTAGCTTTAGTTGTATTTGTATCTCCTTTTGTAACAGACTGCATCCTGTTTAGATTCCCCCAGCTCAGAAATTACTATGTAAAAAAAAAACAAAAAAAAAACTAAAACAATAAGACAACATGTGGAATGATAACTGCCAAAGCTTTGTAGTTCTGCTGGAAAACACCTGCGGCAAAAAAAAAAAGGCTAATAACATGGTTAGAGTCCTCTGAAAGCATATTTTCTACAAAGCTTACAACTCAAACTCAACAAGGATGACTCAACCAGACTGACCTAAATATTTGTTCTCTTAAACTGATCAGCTTTGCAAAATGAAGTCCAATGACCCCTAATTTATTAATCTGAAATAAGAAGAAACTATTAAGTGCCATGCGAAAGTAATCCCCCCACCTTTTGCAACATTTCAGGCCTCAAACATAAAGATATAAAAAAATTTTTTTTTTGTGGATAATCAACAAGTGGGACACAATCATGGAAGTGGAAAGTTACTGAATATTTAAATATTTTCAGAATATTTAACAATTTTTATTTTATTAAATATTGTAGAGTTGGGTGTGCAAAATTTAAAAATAAATAATAACAACTCAACTTTATTGAACTCACATTGGAGAAATTCCCCTCTGCATTTAACCCATCCCCTTGGGGAGCAGTGGGCTGCTATTGTGTGGCGCCTGGGGAGCAGCGTGGGGTTAAGGATCTTGCTCAGTAATCCAGACTGCAGGCTGTAGGGATCGAACCGGCTACTTCCAACATACTCAGAGCAAAAGCGCACTGCTCTAACCACTAGGCCAACACTCCCCAAAAATTAATTGGCTCCTTTACTTTCAGTGAGGCAAACTTAGTCCATCAGTTCAGTGAGGATCTCTGAATGATCCTATATTGATCTAAATGGCTGATGGCAATAAATATAATCTACTTGTGTGTTATCAAGTCTCTGTATAAATGCTTCTGCTCTGTGATAGTCTTGAAGAACGACACAAAGAGGCTGTGTTTTTACTTCTGTCTGCTTGCAACTTGTGAAAGTGTTTAAGATCCCATCAAGTAATGAGATTACTGCTTAGATGACACAGTTTCTATCAACTATAACCACATCCTGCTATCAGACTAAACAAGCAGCCCAGAAATGGCCTGCAAATTACAAAAGAGGACACCCTTGGTAAAAGTTCAGAGATAGAATAACTAGTGAGGCAAGCTTTTGTCACCTTCATAAGAAAATACTACCAAATGTATCCTCATTGAGAATAAATCCTAGTAAAGTGAATGAAGTTATTAAGAGAAACCCTTAAAAAATAAAATGAGATAGAAACTGAATAAAAAATAAATACCTTTATTCAATAAATGTATTACTTTTTTTGTTAAAACTACCAAGATAAATATATACCTAATTTTTATTTTAGATCATAAACTCATATTGATCAGAACTGTGGTCGGATTTTCCAATATTGTTCCTCCACAGGTTGCTACTTTCCGTAGTTATGACATGAAGCTTTCATTCTGCCATGCAACCATATTGGTGAATATCTTCCTCTGTGAGGCTTCCTCAGTCTGACCGAAAACCGTCTTAGTAGAGAAAACCACGTCAGTGATAAAGCAGAGCGGACTTTCCCCATCAGCACTAGTTAGAGGTTTAATTTAAGTCACGCAAAGCAGGGACCAATTAAAATTATATGGGTTAATATTTAACCTTTAACTAAAAAAAAAGTCCTTTGCAAACGTATTTATATCCTATAACTGCAAAAGTCAGTGTATTTTATTGGGATTTTATGTGATAGAGTAACAGAAAGTCCTGAGTGTATAACACGATGGAAAGAAAATGATTCACGATTTATAAAATTTCATATAAATAAAAATTAGAAAAAGTGACTAGATTTTATATGCAAACATCCTCTAAAAACAAATTTCATCCAATTATTTGTGTTATATCTGGAGGCCAGTTAGTTATTACAATCTACATCTACATTTAATTTCTATAGAAATACAGCTGGTTTGTAAAGGTGTCAGAGGATCAGTGCTGCAGCATTGAAGCATACCGGACAGATGCAATTGTTGCAAACTCCCAAGCAGGTTCTTAGTAAAAAAATATATTAATAAAATAATATATTAATGGCCGACAGGTTTTTAATACCTTTGTAACAGTGATACAAACCTAGATCGCAAAGACCCTTTGGTCCTGAACAGAAAGGAACAGTGAGCTGCCATTGTATGGCGCCCGGGGACTAGTGCTGGGTTAAGGGTCTTGCTCAGGGACCCAGATTGGCAGTCTGTGGGAGAACTCAGAACCCCTGGATTTCAAGATCAATGCCTCAACCACTAGGCCACCACTCCCCTACAGTTTATTTTAGGTTTTTCATTCAATGAAATTGAGCATCAGGACAAAACTGTTGGTTTAAATGCCTTGGCCTTTAGGTGATCGCTTTTGGTTCCTTGTTTGCACTTTATTTATATTAATTAATTTTAATCGTAAACATTACCAGCATTACACTGCTGATTTCAAGATGTGCCGACTGAAAACGTCATCGGTTTAAATATAATTGGTTAACATTCATTTGAATATCTTTTTGCTATTTAAAAAGTATTGTAAAAGTATGATTTTCTTGAGAATCTAAAGCTGAATTTTAAGATTGTCAATATCTCACAAGATCACCTAATTCAGTAGTCATGCTTCAAAATGTACTGTCTACTTTGACATTTCTTTTAAACAGAAAACTGTCAGTCAGCAACCACAGCAACACCTACCACCAGGTTTAGTCACTTTACTTGGTAAACCCTGCGTATGGTATGACATTGCGGTCTACCTTAACTGAAAGGTCAGGCAAGAAAAGTCAGAAAGTGACCTCTAGAGAAGCTTCTCAGGTGTTAGAATCTGTTTATAGGGGCTTTTAGATGTGCACCCTACAAATCTGGCCTTAAAAAAAAAAAGGGCAGAGAGACAACAAATAAGCGTTGAAAAGACTTGAAAATTACACTTATTCTGGTCTACATGCAAGAGTAAGAAAAGAAAACCAGCTATGATTGGTTGAAAATTAACAAATTGTTAAAGTTTCGCTCAACACAAAGCATAGCAGTGGCAGCCATTATATTGTGGGGTCTTTTTACAGTAAAAGGCACATGGAAGGTAGTCAAGGTTGATGGCTAAATAGGACTTGAGAGAGGCTGGCAGTCATTTTCCAGCAGGATAGGTCAATCAAACACAGAAGTAAAATAGAAGTACTTAAGACAGAACTATGTATATTATGCACATCAATCTGTCAGAGATGCAATGTATTTGCTCAATGCGTCCTTATAAAGATAAAGCATAAGTATGAAAACAATCATGTGAGTAGACAACAGCTAAATAAAAAAAGAGGAATTTAGAGAAAAACAATAAAAAAAAAAAAAAACGTATGTAAGTGATCCGGTTTTCTGGGCCTGATGTATGAGGAAATAAAAGGATGCACTCAAAATTACAGGACTAACTGCGAAAATGCGTTTGCTACCTCCAGAGACGGCCTCATAAGGTGGGGGCATTTCCAGGTGGGAGAAGGAGGCAGTCGGTGGCAAAGCAGATGAGGGTTCCTCAACTGAAAGGTCATCCTGGACTCCATACCAGCCGGGCCATACAGAGGTTTGCTGCAGAAAGGGAGGAAATAAGTACAAGTTAATATATTTGTGCCGACAGCAAGGAGAACTGAAAATACAGAAGTGCATAAATGTCTGTATTATTGTATTAATCGCTTGTCTGTTTTTTAACATGGCCATTTTTCTAAAGATGACAGCTATGCTACATCTGTAACTCTAAAGAATAGTTCATTCCACATAAGTTAATAAAGCTCTTTAAGATTTTCTGCAAATCTAAAGTGCTCAATCTCAAATCTCTTTCTCAACATTTGTAATTATTCTATTTATATTCTGCTCAATTAGATAAAAAAGGGTTAAGTTAAATAACAGACTGGTGACAAAGCGATCCGATGAGTCATTCTTTTAAATCAATATCCTGATGTTGTGGGTGTAAGAGGAGAACAAAGCAAGCAGCACGGATGGACAAGTCTGAAACATTCATGCCTCAACAAACCTAAAATAGATTTAAAAACTAACTTTTTACTTCCTCTCAATGAAATTAAACGGATGTCTGGTAAACTCAGTTATCAAACTGCATTCTGCTCTATTAAGTTGTGACACAACCAGTAAGGGTTGTTTAAAAACGCAGCTGACTTCCACAGAGAAACATACGACAAATCCTAATTAAGGATCTGCAGTTTTTAATCAAATCAGCTGTTTTATTTTTTTGAAGACAGTCTTTTAATATAATGACTACACAAGTCATGGCTAAGGGAGATTTGATTCTTAATTTAAGCTCCAAATTGTAGCTATTTTGCAATTCCCCTAAACAGCCAATGGGTCATGGATGACCTTAAGATTCCTCTTCTAGACATTCCACTAACTTCTAAACATGGAACATTACCCACTGGAGAGAGCAAAGGTCCTAAGGAGGGCAGGAAAATAAATAGCAGGATGAAAAAATATGCAGAAGACAGAAATGACAGAAAGTAGAGGCAAGCAGTTTATAATCAGGTGTGAAAAGGAGTATGAGAAAGCTGGTAATAAGTGAGAAATAGTCAGTAAAATGAGGAATAAAATATTTATTTTCAAGATAAGTGGTCTACTGGCAAAAGGAACTGGTGTGTAATTAGGTAGTGCATATTTGATAAGATACTATCAAGTGCAACTAGGCAGCATGTTCTTTTATGCATCCTAAACAATTAGATAGCATACAGAACAGTATCAACAGTGAGGAGACACCCCAGGGCTACAAGCCTTGGTTTTGTGCAGCTTCAACTGAATCATTTATTTTCTTTTACAAATGGGGAATTTCCTGGAGGACAAATATTCTAAACAAGCCTAAAAATATAAATGTCTGTCCTTCTGCAAGTATGTGAGTAGAACGATTAGAAAAAGAAAATATCTGGTGCGGATGAAACAACTGATTTGCCCTTTTTTCCCCCTATATCTTCAATTTCTAGACAGGTTTAAATGGAACAATTTGAGCAAAACTGTTTTAACTGATTTGTTAAAGCAAAACGAAGATGCGGTCCACCTATTTTCAGAAGACTGTGTTTATAAGTTGTTGGGCTAAAGAAAAAGTTATTGCTGAAAGCACAGATGTAAATAAAAAAAACTCTTTACAGGCAAAGAGTAAAAGAGTCTTGTAACGGGAAAAACTAGAAATTCACACCGATCAGCCGATGATTTTTATGGGCCGATATCCAGGAGCACAAATACTACAGTGACATTGTATTAATAAGGGCCTGAACAATGGAGCAACTGTTTTTTTTTTCTTTTCGTAAGAGCGGCAGGATGTACCAACATAACCAGCCTATTGATGATTTTAATGATAAACTCAAGTTTAAACTTGGAAAGGGGAAATATGCTCTAAAATGTAAAAAACAAAACAGGTTCTTATTTAACAAACATAAAACTCGACTACTGTAAAACCATTTTTTAGTAAGAAGTCCGAGTAAAAAAAAAAAAGATTAGAATACTTAAATTGATTCCCCCCCAACATTTGCACAAAAACTATGTGATTCAAAGGAATCAGTGAATCAAAGTGTGAGTTTGTACACACAGTGTTTGTGTGTTCTTATTTTTAATACATTTTGGGGCCAATGTTTGAACTGGCTGCACAGATGAAGTTTTAAGGTGGACTTTCTCACTTAAAAACATAATAAAACTACTTTTTACCCACTGATAAGCAGCAAATATAGCTGCCATTGTTATAGGCAAAGATAGGGTAGCTCCACCCAACACGCATCAGACCCACTTTTTTGAACCACACAGCCTAGAGCAGCAAAGATGCTTCAGCCAGAACTAAACTTGTACAAGCATCAAAAATGAAGCAGCACACGCACTTTTGCTGCCTCTGCTGCTTTAGGTATGAACGTAGCATAACTGATCATTTTCTTATTTTAAAGCGTAGCATGCAGTTGTGTCTAAATAAGTCAACTCGGGCCTTTGATTCTCACCTAAAAACACACATCAGAATACTTGCTGACACTGTAAGAGTATCACAGCTGCACAACTAGATTTCTGTTTTCTTTAATAACAAAATAAAGTGAACTGAAATGCAGAAGTGCATATGTCAAAAAGCTAATGCATCGACTAAACTCTGTCAGAGTCTCATACTAAATGTGTGAAGTAACTAATCAAAGAAAGGGGTAACACATGCATTCTTGATGAAGACCACAAACAACCCGCCTGTTAGAACATGACCCAGCCGGCAGTGACCTTATTTGACTGTCTTACACACTTTTCTTACTCACTCAACCATATGCCTCTTAAGAGATTTTCTTTATCCCACAAACCCTTAAAGCTCTCCAGAACTGTGTCCCCACAATAATCAAGACATGCTGGAAGCAGAAAACCACTTCAGCTGTTGATGGCCATTGACAGCCTAATGACGCATTTAAAGGGGAACACGTAGGTTTGCACTTACATTCTGCCTCTCACACATCTGATGAAGGTAAGCCCTTCCTCCGACGATGACTATCTGTGCATTGCGTGTGTTGCTCAAGTATGCTGCCAGCTGCCTTTGTCTTGAACGGTACCAGCACACATAGAAGAAGATCTTTATGATGATGAATATTATCACAACTCTGTTGGAAAAGGAGAGACATTGGGGAAACATTAGCGCCATTGTTCTCAGATCTTTTTATAACCACCATTTTATTACTCAGCCAATACAATGATTTCCCAGTTCTGTCATCCCATGAACACAATCATATATGTATATTACATCTTGTCCAAAAACAATTCATGTTTAAAATAAAGATCTCCAGATTCATAAGGGGAAAATAAATATTGGGGAAATATAAATATTGCAACAGCTGCTGCTATTTGCATTTCTGACAGTTTACATCTTTCACATCCTTACAAGTATATAAAAATCTACAGCTTTGGTTCCTGAATATGTTAAACTGGTATCTTGATGCATAAAAAAGGACATATACACAGTTTCAAGATTGTTTAGTGGTTTGTTTAAAGTCCAAGTGGCCAATCCTTTGGTTTTCACGCATGTGGCAATCAGAGGTTGAATCTGCTTGGAAAATGCCACAGACTGAAATATATCTATTGATGCACCCCTCTTGTCTCTATTTTATATGAAATTGATCAAGTATTTTTAAGGTAGAAATTATTGCAAAAAACTAATGATATGAAGACTCAAAATAGGGATTTCTTTTCATATTTAATCATCTGTTATGCTATTTGCATTATAAAATGTTGAACCTCTGAAGCGTCTTCAAGCATATATATTAGCTATAAGCAAATAACATGTATTATAATAATTGTTATGCTTCATTCCCTATATTTCTTGGGGTTGTTTTCATACTTGGGCTTGAAGATTGGGGTTATTTAAAGATGGTAGAAGTCAGCTTTCTTAACAGCTTTTGGTGTAAATTTAAATAAAAACTGCCCTGTAACTTAGACACTAGTTGCTTCCAATCTTTAAACAGAACCAAGGTGCAAAATATATGCACAGCATAACCTTTAATAAGATTATTATGACACTGTTAAAACATTTATAATAACAATTTATTAGAAACAACCAGATATTGAAAGGGCTTTGCCTACAAGAACATTTTATACTGATATAATAATTTGAGGTTTTTAACTTTTCAATGGCTTTTTCATAGAATAGCAAAAACTAACAGCTGTTAAAATCAACCTTAAGTCTGGTGTGTCAATAAATCTAAACTAATAATTCACTTGTTTTGAAATGCTACGATTTTATATTGCTGTTAGTATACATCCTTTTCTATTGGGAAGAGTTCTTAAACTACTTTTCCTTACAGATATTATTTGTTTTTTAGATATAAAGCAAATACCAATGCAATAAAACTATTTTCGTGTTTCTGTAGAGCTAATTTCCCTAAAGCCTAGCTAATTACCAAGCTATTACAATATAAAAAAATCTAACTAAAAACAAAGAAACATGATATATATATATATATATATATATATATATATATATATATATATATATATATATATATATATATATAGAGAGAGAGAGAGAGAGAGAGAGAGAGAGAGAGAGAGAGAGAGTTCTCGGTTACAATGGTTCACACTGAAAAGATTACCGTAAATACATAAATATCAAGTGAAAAAACTAAGTAAAAGTTGAACTTACATATACCAGTAAAGCTCCATTTCATAACACTTTTATAACCGAGAGGATCGTCTCATCGCTGAAGAACCAAACACCACCTTCCCTGCGGGCAGGAACAGCTTTAGTTACAAAAAAGCAACATTTTTCACCTCATTTTACCCCCATGCTTGCAAACAAACAACCACGTTGTTGTATTTTTAACTTTTTTTTTTACCCTTGTGACAGACAAAGCACCAGCAGTGCTTCACTGGATTTTAAAAAGCATAAAAGTAAACTTACTTAACAGAGGGAAGTCCACCCGAGTTAGCTGGAAAGGTGTGCCATTTCTCTTTCTATTTTCGTGGGGAATGTCAGAGTAGCTCCAAGATCCAGGGGAGGCTACAGCTAGTTTTAGCTAGGCTATCCGTGTAGCAGGCCGAAACAGCAACAGCTTTCCTCACTTATTTCAGTAGCAAAACACCGTCCAAATCTAACCTCAGTTACAAGCATACCGTTCGACTGTTGATACGTTTTAATTGACGATAAATACGGTGAGCTATTCGTTGAATTGATCTTAAGGAAAGAACTTTAGTAGCTTAGCGGAGTTAAAGCTAACGCACACCGTTCACATCCTCCTGTGCTCTGTGCTGCGTTCACTGACCTAGGTGGGAGGTGTTCATGCGGGCGGTTGCTGCTTTCGTGCTTCCCGTAAGACGCCCCCCGAATTACACTAACCTACTTCTCAGTATTAAACTATCGGTTTTTATTTACGATCTACACTTTTTCTTTTTTTTTCCAACCAATCTAGGTTATATTCGGCAAAGTTGAAGTGTGAAACCACAAAAAGAAAATATTAAAAATCCTTGAAGAGTATGATGCGCTCATGGGGGACAGAAATGAGCACATCAGAAGTAATTACACACTCCATCGAAGGGACTTTCTGTGCATCACTTAAAAGTTAAAAGACAAGCAGCTTAACATATAAATAAACCACACCAGAGTTTAATATATGAGTGGAAACATTAGTTGCGGTTTTATGTCAGTATCCGGTAAGCCTACTGGCAAACGACTGCAGGGCCGCAGAAGGGATTTTTGAATTTGGTGGACAGGGACCAAATCTACTACGGAGTATTAGGGTCCGGCTAAAGATTATTATTCTTTCATTATTTCAAGAATAAAGTTGTAAAATTACAAGAATAAAGTTGCAACATTACGAGAATAAAGTTGCTACATTATGAGGATAAAGTTGTTATATTACGAGAATAAAGTTGCAACATTACGAGAATAAATTCGTAACATTACGAGAATAAAGTCACAACACTATGAGACTAAAGTCGTAATATTACGAAAATAGAGTTGCAACATTATGAAAATAAAGTCACAGCATTATGAGAATAAAGTCACAACTTTACGAAAATACTCTTGATATTATGAGAATAAAGTTGCAACATTACGAGAATGTCGTAATATTACGAAAATAAAGTCACAACACTACGAGACTCTCGTAATGTTACGAGAATTAAGTTGCAACATTACGAGAATAAAGTCGTAATATTACGAAAATAAAGTCACAACATTACGAGAATAGTCGTAATATTACGAGAATGAAGTTGCAACATCACGAGAATAAAGTTGTAATATTAGGAGAATAAAGTCACAACACTACTAGACTGAAGTCGTAATATTACGAGAATAAAGTTGCAACATTACGAGAATAAAGTCCTAATATTACGAGAATAAAGTCGCAACATCACAAGAATAAAGTTGTAATACTGCGAGAATAAGGTTTGCAACATCACGAGAATAAAGTCGTTACGTCACGAGAATAAAGTCAAAAAATTACAGAAATAAAGTTGCAACATTGGGACTAAAGTCTCTAGCCAGGCCCTAATACTCCGACAAATCATTATCATATATATATATATTTTTTTGTAACTTGGGCTTTAACTAGTTCTTAAGTATTTACGTTTGAACCACTTCATGACTCAATATTTAGCCCACCCTAACCTCACACACATACAAAAACATGTAAGTTAACAGGTATTCGCTTGAGTAACAGATGGCATGAATTCTGTCAGGTTGGTAATGTCACTGGGGCACTGTAGGCCCAATACACAGTCCTGCCTCAGTCGACTCATATGTATCAACTGATATGTTTTTGTTTTGTGTTTTTTGGTCTAAGCTAACAAAAAACCCTTCACCAGATAGTCATGGAGACTCATACATGACATCATCAAAGACAGAAAATAATTGTCCTATAGTAATTTCTTTTTTCAGTCTAATAAAAGAAAATGTGTTTTATTTTGTAAGGCTTGTATATACTGTATACTAATAACCTTTAGAACTACATGTTATACAAAAACAAAACCCCAAAGCTTATAAATAAATGAACCAGATGTTTAAATAAAAAGGTTTTGTTTTTAGATCAAGTTCACATTTTGTCTCCATCTAGTGGTCAAACCTAAAAATGCACCCTACTATTCCAAATGATGGAGACTCATCATTGAACTGGCAATTTAAAAACAAGTTTTAAAACGTAAAAATAATAATTTCAATGCAAAAAGAAGTATCAACAACAAACTTTAAAAAAGCACAGAAACTGATGAAGATGATTTTATTAAACTTAAAACTCAAAAATAATCTAAACAAAAAAAATTATATTTGTAAAACATAGGACTTAGACTGTTAGACAAAATTTCCTTTAAATCAACCATCAATCAAGTGTTGCGACATATAAAGAGTAAGGTTTTCATTTACTGACATACAAATTCAAGAAAGCACTATTTCCCAATTTCAAGCTGTAGAATCATAAATATCTCATCTGTTGTCTTCCACAATAATGGTCCTCCTAGGGTAGGAGTCTATGTCCACAAATATATAACGAAATTCATATTTTCCAGTTTCAGGGTTCTGCAAAAATAATAACACAAGTGTCAACAAAGGCAGAAATTTTCACAAAAATATTAAATATTTTGATTGGAATTGCAATGCTTTTCAAAACCAATTAAATCTCTTCAGGTTCTTCATTTTGAAACCACAAGCTTGAATATAATTTATTAGGATTTTATGTGATAGACCAACCCAAAGCAGTCAAGTAGAAGTTAAAATTAACATAGCTTTTATTTACTTTTGTTAAAGTATGAAAAACAGGCACGCCTTTGCATTCAGTCAGCTTTATTTTGATACACCTGAATCCAAACCACTACAAGCAAAGTAAAAAGTCACCTAACAACTGTGGAATAGTTGTTCTGTGAACGCCTCAGAAGTTTGTTCGAAAATGTAAGGGAAAACCATACAGACAGGGTATCAGAGAAAAAGAAAATGTAATTCTTAACATCCCACAGAGTAACCTGCTGCATAACCCACTATAAACTACTATTGTATAACAATCCACATAACAGGATAGGAAAAGAGGACATTCATCAGAGAAGCAGCCGAGAGTCACTCTGGAAGAGCTGCAAACATCCATCACCTATGCGGGAGAATCTGCTGACACCAAAACTAGCAAATGTTTATGGAAGAGAGGTAAGAAATACAGCAGTGCAGCAACCAGCTTTAGATGTGGTTCCTTTTGCAGCATAAGAACGCAGGCAGGAGTTTATGGGGAAAAAAAAAAAGTTGAATAAAGGGTAATCATGGAAGTAAGTCTGTCAGAAGCGACAAAAAGCTTCTCTTTAAACCAGGACCAGCATAAATATTAGGTCAGAGATACCATGGAATGGTTTAGATCAAATGGCCCAGTCAAAGTCCATCGCTACTGAGTAGCTGGCAAGATTTATAAACTTCTGTTCACATATTCAGTATGGTTTCCAAATAACATACATGTCAGATTTGTATCTGTTAAAAATTGTTAAAACTATAAGTCAACTTACTTTACCTGAACACTTATAAACAAATATGTATTTCGTCTGTCACATAAAATCCCAATAAAATATTTATTTTTAGTTCAGAAATTGACAAACTTTGTCAATTTAATAGGAATAAGATTTCATATGTAAAGTACCTACCTCCTTTGACTCTGTATGCACGGTTCCTTTCAGGCCCGGCTCTGAACCTTCAATGTAAAACTTAAGTCTCATATGTTTTAGTCCATCCTTCATGTACTCCACGTGACTGAGTTAGAAACAGAGGCAAGCAGAAAAATCACTGTAAAACTACAAAGACAATGACCTCTGTTAAAAGCAGCATAAAATAGATTTACTGTTAAAATATCTGAAGATAAGGTTTGGTATTTAAGGCCACCTGACTTGCTGCCTCCTTCCTCTCCGGGTCGTCTCGCCGTAGCACTTAATTGGCTCTCCAAATGCGCCGATCACCTGCATTTCAGAGGAATCAAGAATGTTTTTGTGTGTTACTTGGATTTTAACTGAACCAAAAGCAGTCATCAGTTCCAGCTATATCAGCATATGCCACAAGTCTTTTGCTGTCTACTTTTATTTTTTTCACCTCTGGTTGGGATCGGACTATGTTAAACGCTCTGCTGTAGACTTTGTTTGGGCTTGAGGAGGAAAACAGCTCCTGAAACACCACATATAGCAGCCCACCTAAAACAGAAATATCCAGACCAGTCATGTTCAATGCTTTTGTTTAAGCTGAAATGGCTTATGAGTTCATGCATCATTTAAAATGTTATTTCCACACATTCTCGTTCAGTTTTAATCAGATTTCAGAGTTTAAGTGTGCATTATATTGAGAACATTTCCAGAAATATAATAATTCATGAAAAGGGGGAAATAACAACATTCTAAGGAGCGAAGGGGAGAAGGCAAGCAGATGTAGGAGGGATTAATAAATTCACGTAAAAAAAAAAAAAATCCACAGATGGATATTAGCCTACAAATGGATTAATGGATGGTTATTAAGAACTTATTAGTGTATATATGGACTCATGCAAAGAAATCTAGATGAAAAAGAGAAACTGTCAAATGGATGAATGGATAGATGGTTGGATGGATGGATGGATGAATGACAGTTGGAACCTGAAAATGGATGGATATATCAATGAATTATAATGAGTTATGTAGAATAAGACAGATGGATAACAGATGTGAGATTAAAAACATGGATGGTTGATACACTAGATCAGACAGATTAATAGACAGATGGGTGAATAGTGACTGATGGATAAATGCATATATTTATTCATGCAATAAGATATTGTATGAAATCTGTTAATCATACCACCTAGTTCATCATCATATCTTCCCAGACAATATAAAGACGCGTTTTATTCACCTGTCACGCCCAGACCGACGAGAACTACAATCAAGTAGGTGAAATCTCTCCCAGCTTCTTTCACTGCAATAAACAAAGGAGAGCCAGTCTACAGGATTTCATAGCACTCCAAATGCAATCAGTGGGATTTTGCAGTGACGGGTGTTTAGCTCAGAGTAACCCGTCCAGGGACAGAAGGTGACTGTGGACATGTCTCCTCCCTGCGTACCTTTCTGAGCAGCTGAAGGTTTGGGAGTCCCGCTCTGGTACCGGGACACCGACTTTCCTCTGTCCTCGCTTCTGTTCCTGGCTGAACAGTGGATAGACAGAACCTGGTGTCTCTGAGCTGAAGTGAAGCAGCTCAAAGAAGGAACATTTTTCCTGAGACCGAGCCATTCTGGTGCTGTGGACGCTGTCCTCAGCGCGTGCAGAGAGAAGCAGAGCTGAGTTTGTCTCAGGTTTCTGTACACGACTTTCAAAACGTGAGTATAAGTCATCATTATTTTGATGGTGAAACTAGTAAAAAGCAATAATTAAACAAGCACCGAATAAATATAAAAAAAGGTGCATAAGAAACAAAACTAAACCACTGCAACCTTAGTGTCAACCAGTGTGCGCATGACTTTTGTGCTGCCCTTCTTCTTCTGCTTGTTGACATCTTTATGGCGGATGGCAAAAAAAAGTTAGGAGAAAGCATTACCGCCACCAACTGGTAAGGAGTGTGGACCACATGGCAAAAAAACAAAAAAAAAAACAACAACAAAGAAGCATAAAACTATATCCTAATATACAATATAACCTAATATCCTCTGCTAAATTTACTCAGTGCCAAATTTTGATTCAAACCCCATTTATATTGATTATGACTGTCCTTTTATAAGTAAGAAAACAACCAACGAAAGTATGTCAGCTTGTGTATTTATTGGTCCAACACTTTTGAAAATATTAATTGGAAATGGACTTGGTTGCTCCTTAAAAAATACTTAATAAACAATAAAGTAAGAGAAATTTCTTATAAAAGTATTCGTAATGTTTAGCCTGTTAAAGCATTTTTGATTAAAAGATCCAAATGGGATTTGGACCCAATGTGTACTTTTTGTAAAAATAAAGAAAGAAAAGCTTATTTATCTTTTTTGGGATTGCAATTATACCAAAATATTCTGGAGAGAAATGTTTTTGTTTTTTTTCCAACAAAAAAATCTTAACATTATTTTAACAGCTAAGGACATTTTTTTGGGATGGAGAAATGTGAACTTGTCAAAATAAAATGTATATATGTTATACAATTTTTGATTATTTATGGTAAATATCATATTCACACCTCCAAATATTTACAACATAAACCTAATTTCCAGATTTTATTATCTTCTATTAATATCTATATGGAATCCTTAAAATTTAGTTCAAATGCTAAAGCCATGCAAATTCTAACTGCCATAAAGAATTATTATAACCCTCGAGCATAGATTAGATTTGATTTTGACATTGTAAATTAATGGTTCTGTTCTTTAAAACCCTTTGTTGTTGTAGATTTTTTTAATTTTAATGTTCTATATTGTTCATGTATGTTCTTTTTTTGCAATAAAAAAAAAATCCTCTGCTTCCTGATTCCTTTTGCAGTAAATCAACATTGTTATTGTATAATTACTAAGTTTCCTAATTAACTTGTTTCTCTGAATCAAATATTTCCTACAACTCAAAATAACATGTTCCACTGTTTCATCTTCCCCACAGTCACATTTCCCTGTCTGATGTTTCCCTATTAAAAATAATGACCTATTCAATGCTGTGTGTCCTATCCTAAGTCGTGAAATAATTCTCTCTTCTCTTCTGTTCCTTTCTGTTCTTCTCATTTGTCTAATTCTCTTTTGGATCTTATAGAACCACCTTCCTTTCTTTTCTTCATTCCCATAAGTTTTGCCACCTGTCTTTTGTTTTTTGTTTAATTATACTCTTTCTTTCTGTTATACTAAAACTAACATTAATATCTATCCTTACCTTATTTGTACTCTCCTTAGCCACCCTGTCTGCCATTTTATTTCCCTTAATCTCGTTATGTGCTGGAATCCAAACAAAATTTATTACTAGCCCCATGATATTTATTCTGTAATGTGTTTTTTGTATTTTAATGAATATATCTGGCCTACTGTCTGACTGATTATATTACCTTTGGGTTCCTCTTTACCTCTCTCACCAAGGCTCTTCTCCCACAATTGCTCAGTTTGGCTGGACGGCCAAGTCTAGGGAGAGTTCTGGTTATCCCAAATTTCTTCAAATGAAGGATTGTGGAGACCACTGTGCTCTTAGAAATCTTGAGTGCTGCCGAAATGCTTTTGTAACCTTGGCCAGATCTGTGCCGTCACAATTCTTCCTCTGAACTATTTGGGCAGTTCCTTCGATCCCGTTTGCTCTGACATGCAATGTGACATGCAATGTGAGCAATAAGGAAATAAAATTAACTTTTTATGATTTTAGCAAATGGGTGCAATGAAATGAAGAGTGAAAAATTTAAAGGGGTCTAAATACTTTCCATACCCACTGTAGAAGCGAGATCAGATCAAATGTTTTTTATATGGAGCTAGAGGTGGGAAAGAGCAAAGAATGATCTGACAGAGGACAATACAATGGATGAGGTGATATAAGCAGTTGATCCACTATGTCTTTTTTATGTTCACCAAGCTCAACAGCAAAAAACCATGTCTCCATGTAGACTCACATAGACTAAAATGTTTTAAGAATATTCAGTTTGGGCTTAAAAGCAGTGATTTCTTTTTTTTTTTTACTAAAAATAAATCTACAAACAGCTGAGGAACTGAGAGGTTTGACAGAGTAAATACTAAGCTCAATGAAACAGCATATTTCTGATTTGGTTTTCTAAAACTCTACATAGATTAACACACTTACCTCTCGATGCTTGCCTTCGACCTTTGCTTTTAAAGCTACTAAGGGCTGCCGAATAGTATGTAAAATCAGTACAGAAAATGTCAAATAAAAGGTCCACCACAATGAAATCAGAAAGCATTAGTTTATTGAAAACAATTCAGTCCAGCATTTTCTTATATTATCAAATACATACTAAATTAGTTAAAGAAAAAGAATAAACAAAAGCAGGTTTCAAACTAAATTAACCCGATGAATTAATCATGATAATAAAAAATACAGAGTGCCACTGAAGTGTTATCAGGTAAATGTTAATAATCAGCAAATTCATTTGTAAGTTTACCATAGTGTGATTTCACATCTCCTGCTCTTATAATTTCAATATAAAAACAATCTCTAAATCAATCTATAAATTAATCTCTAAAGCAAAACTGTAACATCAAAGTGTAAAATATGTGCAATGGTAAGTATGTTTTGAAGAATGTGTGAAAACGTAATAAGAAACCTGATTCTGTCCTTTTTTTTTTTTTTTACTTAGGAGCTATTTTACATTAAAGGTACTTCACTTAAAAAGAAAGATCAGTTATCTGATCAGCACAGGGTGGGAGTGGGGATGAGGGGCACCTTTATTGTCCAAGGCAGAAGGAAGGAAGGAAAAACTTTCAGAAACTTAAAAAATATATTCTGATTACAGCACTCTACAGCAGTAAAGTTACTCAGAGTTCATCACTCAGGTTGCACACAGGAGAAAACCCTTAGCTTCAAATGATGTCAAACCTGGCAAGATGCAGCGGAATGATGCATCTGTCTGATGTATCTGCAGAGAAATAAAGACACCATTACTTAAAATCTGCTCCAGGCTGTGTTCCACTCCCACCTGCGGCCTGGGAGTGAACTGATTCAGACTTCCTCTTATCTCTGAGGTGGCAGAGCAGTTTTTGAGTATGTATGTGTCTGTTTACATGTGTATGTATTGAGGAGATATCAGTAAGTGCAGGTTAGAAGCTGTGCTAGATAGCTATTGCATTTTCTGGATTGTGAACTAAAGAAAAAACACACACATAGGAGGTCTGCCATGTATGAACACAAACAAAATAATTTATTGGTACTTCTCACAAGTATGCATGAATTTGCTTATAAGTAGGAAAAGCACAAATGTAAATAATGCATAAAATACATCATACTAATAACAAAAATGTACATAGTGTAGATGGTAAATGCATGCTAAGTGACCAAAAAAAGCACATATTTAGACAAAACGCTATGAGAACAAAACAAGCATGCAGGATGAAAGGGATTAGTTGTTAGAATTCATAGCGTTCATCTATTAACTTTTTGTACTCATGCCAATTTTGTAGCCAGCTCATCAAAAAACATAATCAGTATTGGCTTTAATTCAGTAATTTCACACCAATACTTTGATGTTCATAATAATAGCATTGCATAATCACTCACAGTCAGGCCTAGGAAAAAAGTAAGTAAATACATTTCTTATGAACTTTGTAATATTAACATTAAACAAATAAATAAGGGGGGATAAATACCACCCTTCTAAAAATGCTGCTTTTTATGCAATATGCCTTACAATGCTACAGATAGAGAAGCATTTTTGATATGGCTCACTGCACATGGCGGCACAGCAGGGTGGGCATCATAAACACTCACAGTAAACAGATGCAGCTTTAACAAGTGTTCTGTTTTCTATCACCAGAAATATGTCTGAGTCAAAGTTTGGTGTCAAGTGCACAGTATAAACCCCTGTAACAAGCAAGGCCATTCAAGGAAGGTAGGTAATGTTGCTAATAGTGTAAATTCATTAGTAGGGTGCCATTTGGTGTTAGACCAAATGTATAAAGACCATCTGTGACATATTAAAAGATATCATAAATATTAATAAATAAACAGGCATACGGTTTAATGCTCATAAAATGTGTTTTTGTTCCTTCAGCTTTCCCATTTTTAGGGAGTCACTTTGCAAAGTTTTTACACCTAATACCCATCATTCCGCGACTGGGATTTAAACCTGGCGACTTAAACGGCAGTAAAAAATACTGTAACTAATTAAATGTAGGAAGTGAATTATTATAGAATATTATAAATGCCATATTTCTTTAAAAAAGCATATTTATTTATACACCTTTGGAATAATCCTGTCATAATTTTATTCGTTAAAACTTTATTCATTAATTGCTACTAATATAGCATGTATATTCCATTTCATCATTACTAACCAATAGGTAGATGATTTGCAGGATGAGGCTGAACATAGAAAGGTTAAAGGGGCAGGCAGAAATAAAAAGGATTGCAAGAATAAATAACCCCCCAAGAAATACAAAGAAAGTATAAAACTATTAATATTGAATATAAAATATTAAAGCAGGCATGCCCACAGTTGGTCCTCGTGGGCCGCTGCAGGTTTTAGAGGTTTCCCTGCTTTAGCACAGCTGATTCAGATGATTGTAGCTGAGCAAAAGCCTGTTAATCAGCCATCAATGAAAATCAGCTGTGCTGGGTCAGGGAAACCTCTAAAACCTGCAGGACAGCGACCCCATAAGGACCGACTTTGGCATGCCTGTATTAAAGCAGACACAGAAATACATTTCAAGAATGTTTAACTTAGAAATACAGATAAAAAATAAACAAATACGAAATAAACAAATAAGGTATCTTTATATGAGGGTGAATAATTAAAGTGGAATATATATACCGGTATACATCTATATATATATATATATATATATATATATATATATATATATATATATATATATATATATATATATATATATATATATATATATATATATATATATAATGGTATAAAGTCATTACTGCCCACATGTATTTTGCTTTCTAGTTAAACCTAGTTGGAATATGATCATCTCTATCTCAATACTGTAAAGTTATCAGAGCTTGACATTTTTTTTTTAAGAAAACCATATCATAATTGCTTTTGTCTGAGAAATATGTTTGTGAATTAAGATGAAGTTGGTGTGGGGAAACAGTATCTATGGGGACATTTTTATAGACATTTTAAAAACCATAGTCTAGTTATTAAGAAAATTATGCTAGGTTAAAAAATGTGCTGCATACTAATATCAAAACTATATTATAGTTGTGATTTTTTATCAAACATTATTGTTTGGACCTCAATCTCTTCACTTTGAATTTGTGCTCCAGGAGTATTTAGGTTAATGTCTGGAGCAGTTCATACTATGAACTAGTAGTATTAGTAGTAGTGGTATTACTTATTACTAGGTACTAGTAGTACCCTGTTTAAGAGAGATTAGGTCATGTCAAAAGACAAGGAATTGAGCGCAGACAGATACCAAAAACATAAAATATGGGAAGATTCATGTGTTGTAAATATTTTAGTCTAAATTATTACATAACAGGCTTATATTTGGTGGAAGATAATAAGACATATCATTTTGGGGGTTCAAAGTTCTCTTGAAATACATGTCATTCCATAATATATTTCATTAGCACTTGATGTAATCATCTATAACCTTTGTTGTTCAATAGGATGTTATAAAGCACCATCACTTTGATAGTTTAATCCCACGCTGCACTTTGACAAAACCCAAAATACACTTAAAATACAAAAAAAAAGGAAAACCGTGTTTTGAATGTTAAAGCTCAAGCTTTGCATTTTGTGAAAATTTTATTTAAACGATGACCAGAGCTTAATATATGAGTAATTAATGAATCATTAGGATGTTCCTCAAGATTATAAACACAAACCATTTTTTATCTCTTTGTAAAGTTTTAGTACAAAACTATTCTGCCTATTTGGAGAACCTGGCTTTTCTCATTCATGTGATAAACATATATTTTCAATAAGTTTACACAACAGGAATGTTTATAAAAATACGGTAACTAGAAATGTTCTAATCTTCATGTCATCTTAGAACCAGTAACACAAAAAACATTTCTTTGTACTTATGCAAATTATTTTCCAACCTTTCTTGTAATTAAATGGCCTAAGATTATACCCAATTCAAATTAAATAATGATAAGGTATCACATTTATATTTTTATGTTGTCATAGTGTAATTAAATTTGATCTACAAAAGAAAGACACATTACTTATATGGATGACCCTTATGCTACACTATTCAAATGTTCGGTCTGCATCAATAAAGTTTTCGTCACTTTAGACTACCAAATAGCTAATACAACTGGTGTCATCCAATTACACTAGTTTTCACTAGATGTGGATGGCGCCAATGATCTGCATTAGATGGCGCACATGACGTGAAATAATTATTTATAAACAATAAACTGAAGCCAAGAGTAACGAGTGACGAGTTTTAAAAATGTACGGAATAGAAAGTACAGATACTTGTGTGAAAATGTAATGAGTAGAAGTTAGAAGTAGGAAGAAAAATAAGTAAGCCCTGTGCACCTCAGAGAAGCAGATTCATTTCTCCCACTAAAGGGCTTTATCCACTACTTAGTTTCCTGTCTTTTACTACTGGACAAGCTGATTAACCCAGGTGTGTCTGGCTGGTTACTGTGGTTCTTTTCTTTCTAGCCCTCTTCTAACTTCTGCCTGCTCTCTGTTGTAGACTGACATTGTTTCAGATTAAAGCCTTACAAGGAATTTTCAGTCATTCTTTTAAATTTTATCCCGAGTCTCTTTTACTCTGCCAGGTGCAACCAGTGGTCTTTTCTTGATTTTTGTTGATTAGTATGGTTAATGTTACAAATTTGAGTCCTCATCTTTAGTAAGACAAATCACATCCAAGCCATATTTTTTCTTTTTTTACCTGGGCAAGAACCAAACATTTATCACACGGACCAGTCCAATCAAAATTAAATGAATCACACACTTACCACAAGACAGGGCAGCTTCCCATCAGTTGCGACCCTTTGTGACAACACAGTTCCTGTTCTTCTGTTTTAAAAGTGGTGCACTCTGTTCCCCATCTTTACATTAACACCAGAGAAACCAGCTACCATAGCAGTGGTTTCTGTGCGCAACATGCTCATGTGTACTTTCTACCATAATAAAAGCCCACATGCAACTTTCCCTCTCTCGTTCAAAAAACAGTTAAATTTGAGATATTTCAGGGGTTAGCTTTAGCAGGAAATCGGGAAATGTCTGGTCACTCTAGAGGGGTGACCAGATATCAGGGTGACTTTTGTCAAACTTTTAGCCTGAGATGGATGGATAGATGAAAGAAAGAAAGAAAGAAAGAAAGAAAGAAAGAAAGAAAGAAAGAAAGAAAGAAAGAAAGAAAGAAAAACTTTAACAGAACTACAGTGAAGGTACGAAACTTTTATAAAGTGCAAATTTGGTATCTCCAAAAATAACAACATGCCATGTGTTAACCACTGGAAACAATATGTGGGAAACATTTAGCCCTGCTGTACATACATGAAGTAGGTACAGTCTTCTTTCTTCACATAACACCCAATCCCATCTCCCCCCCCAAAAAAAGCTAAATATATTTTATCTTAGATACTTCAATATACACATTAAATTAAGCAGTATGAAGTGTCTTCTGTCGGACTGATGCTTTAACTTTGATGATGGGATCCATATTGCAACATTATTTGTTATTGTGCTAATATTTGACCTCTGATATAAATGGTCAGATTCTAAATCACACTCATGCTGGGCCACTTCAAAATGTTAATTATGCTTCCATTCAAAATAAAAATACTCAGGAACACAAAATAACAATAAATCAATTTAGAATATAGATAAAAAACCAACACAATTTCAAAACTCAAGGATTTAGAGATGTTAATGGTTTGCCTAATAATCTGAGGACACTTAGTGGACAATTTGAAGGTACTGACTAAAATCTGAAAAAGCTTAAAAAAAGTTGAAAAGCTTAAACGATGTTTTTGTTTTATAAAACTTCAATTACATCAGCCCTAAAAGCTAAATAGAGCAATATATAAACTGTCCTTTTTATTTATTTTTCCTATTAGAAAAGTGTATTTTATATAAAGATATTAAGCTTCGGTTAAAGAGAATTCAATCAAAATTAAATGTTTGTCTAAAAAGCGAAAGAAAAAATGCCAGTCAAAGGCTAAGCCGGTATATTCAAAGTCAACAAACTCAAACTCTAATTACATTTAAAAAATGCTAAACACTTAAAAAAAAAGAAGAATGCTGTTTAACCACATAACATGCATACCTTTAATACATCTGTAAATACTTTTTAAATTGCATATAAAGCTTATATGACCTAATGCTAACTCATTTTTTCCTCAATTTTTTTGCTAGCATGTTAATGCATTAATGGAAAATAATGGTGCATGCACAAGCCAAACATCTCATTAGGTTTTTTAATTAAACTTGGAAGAATTCTGCCATACCCCCCTATTAATAATTTCAGTTAGGTTAGTATTAAGTAGAGTCAAGTTTCAAAGATGTTGGACTAAGGAGGTGTGAAAAATTTTAACATGTATGTTATTAACTAATAAAAGGCATGCTGAAAAAAAGAAACTTGAAAATGGTCAAACTGGCTTTATGGTAAGAAGGAATCTATCAAAAATAACAGATATTTCACAGCCCACACTGCACTCCTTCATATTTGTTTCTTATATAAAAGCCACAGATATTAAAAAGCATTCAGCAAACTGCATCAGCAGTAGAGGTAACTGTTTTCTCTTCACAGCATTGTGGCTAGAGTATTTAATTCTAGTCCATCGTAATCTTTGCACATGAATACAACTCCAGTATGTATCCATTTCACCAAAGTGTACCCTCATCATCATCATCATCACCAGCATCATGCTGGTGTGAATTCCCGATCCACTCTGTCATGTGTCAGTGACGCCCGTTCGTACTGTTCCAGGATAGCACTATTTTCAAGAAGTCTAAATGATGGAGACAATGCAACATAAAGCACAACATAAGCAGACAAATATACCAAGACAATACTAAGAAAAAAAACAATGAGAAGTAATCGGACAACTTCATTATATGCACGCATGAAGTTGCAACCCCTAATAGTTTAGTCATGTTTTTACTAAATCAAACAGTTTTTACTAAATCAAACTGTTATTTATCAATTTCATTAAAATGAACTGACAACAATTGTCTATATTGCTATTGAGAACTTAAACTTCAGTCAGACTGGGGTTTTTGCAACTTCATCTGAACATTCTCATGGAGCATTTGCACATAAAGTGTTACATACAGGCATAACATCAAGAACTGATACGTCATGCAGTCCTACAAGATAATTCCCCTTTAAAGACGTCATATTTAGAGAATCTCAGTGTGCTTTTTAATTAACTGCAGAGCAACTCAGTTGAAGTGTAGGACCATGTTTGCTTTAATTTTGGTGTTTATCTTAACAAAGTTGGTTTCTTTTTCTCAATATTTACTTAGGAGGTTTTTCTTTATTCCATGAGTCATTCCTTACCGACTTAAATTTTCCCAGCTCAAACCATGGATTGCTCTGAAGGAAACATCTCTGTAAGAGCTCATTGTTTCCTATAGAAACCCGAAATTACTAAACATTTCAATGTTTGTGAAAGCTTTTCAGAAAGATATCATGTAAATCTCCTTTTTAAAATATTTAGAAAATTCATAATTGTCTAAAATATTGAATTCAACTAATCTTTTAGGTGTTGCAACAATGTTCATTGACAAGAAATCCTATGCTATTAAAGAGGCTGTTTATTTCTCAAAAACATGCAAAATTTAAAGGAAAGGTATGTGTTGGTTGAGCAGGAGTTGTTAAATCCTCTTTACTAATGCCAAGCAATTTTGAACGGAATAGTCTGGAAAACGGAGTTACCTATTATTGAATGCAATCCAAGTATATAAAATACTAAAGTGATATGCTCCAGGATGTCAGTGGTAACTCTCACAGAGCAGGGTTTATCAGATAGAATTTGGGAGTGCAGAAAGGCTTTAGGCCCATTGAGATCATGTGGGATCAGCTTTGGTATGCTATTTGCAGCACAATGATTGCCACAAACATGGTGGAAATTTTGCATCCCACAGCAGTTTGTGACTAAGCTTGTAAACAGTTTGATGAGGATATGACAGGTTATCATGGTCCTGTATTGTTATCCCATGGGCTAAACCCCCTAATGAGCTTGCCTGCCTTGCCAACGTTTTCTTGTTTCTTCAAACTTCTTTCAACTCTCTGGATAAGATCAACAAACAAGAGTCAAGGCAAAATAAGTTATTTAACACTGGCAGAAAGGAACGTTTATTTGTTTGCGTTCAGTTACAGTACACTAAAAATTTGTTAAATGAAAAACAAAAGTAATTAACTTTTCTCTTTTTAGGGTAATTAGCTTTGTGCTATTTCTTAACCATCTAAAAAAAAAAACAATAAGAGCTATAGTTCCAGATAGCAATACAAATTTAATAGATATTTAGTAGTATCCTAAGGCCGAATCTAGCAGTATAACACTATTCTCCAGATTGAAATGGATACTATATAATTTGATAAAAACTGAATTTATTTTTCCTTTAAAGTATAATAAGATTACGTTTGTGTTGATTTGCCTGTAAACATCAATACACTTAAATTTTTATTGAGTGCAAGTTAAAAGAAAAAGTTGGACAAAAGGAACAGCTGTTTGTAATCACTGCTCAATATTCAATTTTAATTGTCTACAATGGTTATCGCTTGATGTTAAAGTCGGATTTCTTGTTTTACATTACACATAAACGCAATACCTCAATATTCCCTTAAAAACGGTTTAACATGTTTATAAGAAAAGACCTGCTTGATATAACTATGATGCCAAAGGCAATGCATTATATTTTTTGTGGTGGAAAGACAAAAGAAAAATATATGCAAAATAATACTGCAACACGGTTTTAGTTTTTAAATATTTCGTAAATCCTTGCAATTAAAGTATTCTATTTACAATTAAATAACAGTTTTTATGTAAACTGGGAAAGTCATCTAAGTTGGCATGGAATCTGTAATTCTACTAGGAGCAATAAGGGACATAACTGTATCAGTTTCAACAAAAAAGTCTAAAAATACATGCTAATACAGATAAAAGTGGTTCTTGACAAACAATGACAAACTTACTTAGAAAACAAGATGGTTATAAACAAGAACACCATCTTGATAAACCCAAACAACAAACTGAAATTGAACACAATAAATAAAAGACCCATGCAAAAGTCACAGAAAAGGAAGAATAAAAAGTTAGACAAAAGTATATACTGACGGAGCATATGACAACTACGCAACAACAAAAGGTATTGAGTGTTAGATAAGCGTGCTTACCTTGGGATTGTCTCCTAGACCCTAGTTGTGTTGTACTCTGATTCATGTTTGCTCAAAGAGCCAATGAGGCAGAACCTGAAATGTTATGGCTCTTTCATTTAATATAATATCAAACTCATTTTGCATATAAATATTTCAGAATGCATAATGTGCTACATACTGTAAATGTAATAAACTTCATTTGCCATTTGATGGGCTTAAGGAACCTTGCATGCACAATTGCAGTTAACTATAACAACACTACCAGGATTATTTTGGAAAATGTATATAGAAAGTTCAGAGAAAGTTTCTAAAGTGTTCCAATACTGTCATACAGTATCTTTGCAAGTTACAATTACACCATATTTGTTTTTGTTATCAAAATACAAGCTTATGCCAAGAGAATACAATTTATGTATCACATTTTGTAATTTGCATTAAAGTCAAAACCATATATAGAATTTTAACAAGGCACCAATTTTAGCCCTTTTAATTTTTATGAGATCAGATCCTAAAATAAAATCCATGACAACATGATGAAAAAACCTCAAAGAACAGTTTCATTTAGATATTTAAATATATGTGAATAATGATAGAAAGCTAACTGGGATGATTTGCAAATTTGAGGTTGAGCATGCAAGATGAGACATACTGTGAAGCCCTTTGTTAGAACTTGTAATGGCAGACAACAGGCAAGTAAACTGGGTAAACAAAAAAGTGAATGATAAAATTATAAATAATCAATAAACGAAGAACAAAGCTTAAATAAAATGAAAATAAATAAAAGTGAGTAGTTGTTGCACATTTCAAATATTGTCATTGTTAACTATGGTGCTGTTGTTCCACCCTCATCAGAAATCAATAGATACTGACCGCTGTACTGCCTTTTCATGGCGTGACAGTCGATGGCTGGTGGTTGGAACGTCTTCCAGGTCGTCATCCAGGTCGCATCCATTGTCTGCCGCCTCTTGAGAGTAGCTGTGCTTCATGACCAAGATGCTCCTACGGTTCCCTGTGGCTGGCAGCAGGGGCCGCACAGACATTGGTGGCTGCGGAAGGTCTGTGAGCAGAGCTGCTGTGGCCCCTGAGTCGCGGGCACTTAAGTTACTCCTGCTCCCTCGACCGCTGAGCGACAGCTGTGATATGTGTGCAGAGCCAGGGCAAGAGGGAGAGCCACAGTGGTGGTCATGAATGCAGCGGGAGGAGGCCTGGCGAAGGGCGTGGTAGTTCTCAAAGTCCTCCGCCAAGTCAACCAAATCTGCAGAGGCCGCTGTGGGTGTGGCGGCACTCCGTAAAGTACATAGCTCATAGTGGGGGGGTTCAAAGACCTCCTGAAACATGGTGGGGTCAAAGTCTTCTCGTCGGAAAATGTATTTCTTACGCGGCTGCTTTATCTGAACAATTACTGAGACGATGAGGAGGATGAACACGATGCAGCAGGTCACCCCAATTATGGCCCCATTTGAGGAGTTGAGGTTGTCCAGGAATTTGGTATTAGTTTTCTCTGCACAGTAGTAGAGACACATGAGAACAGAGGAGAACAGATCAATAAATATGAAGTTGATTTTCTCAGTTAAAACAGATCAAACATAAATTGAATCATTGAATCATTAAATTAAATAAAATAAATATCTGGTCATTTCTTACCCATATTCACTTCATATATGTATTTTTTTTTTATGTTTTTTGTCTGAATTAAACATACTTGATTCCACATAACAGGCTCAATCAAATACCCTCAATAATATGAAGTCAAATGTTTAAAAAAACCAGCCACACATTGATTTGCAACTATACAGAAGCATCAAGCATAATTCTAGCTCTTCTTAGTAGAATGGTAGACTTTTATCTAAACGTCTGGCTAACTTTAACAGTTTTGACAGTTTTAACCATAAATAAATTATAAATATCACAACGGAACTTCAGTTGTGATTTACAGAGCCCAAGATTTTGATATAGTCTTACTCTGACTTCATAAAAGGTTTTGGTTTCCTACATCTGCTTTAAATACTACTCAGCAATCGCAAAGGTTCTGTATAAGGCGGCTATTGCCCATTAACTTCTTTTCAACTCTGTTGACCATTGCAAGGTTTTTTCAGGAGATATATGCTTTTACATTCCAATGCTGTTAACTTAAAAGCTAGGTAATTGCCATCCATCCACCTAATCAAGTGAACCATTATTTTGACCTTGTCACCTAAAACAGACAATTCTTGTTAAAACCTGACGACTCCAATGGGTGCTAAGGCAAAACACAAAATTACTGAATACAGTTTTTTTAGTCTGATCCAAGTTTTCAAACCGGAAGTTAATGCTGACAAGTAGGAACTGTTACTTTACTATGCTCCATTCATCAAGGCCTTGTAGAATAGATATATTAGCAAAGATAAGCAGAGGACAAAACTTTGAAATATGTCACATGAATACATATACGTAAACTGCTTAACATAAGACTTACCTTATACCTAATGATTTATTTCACATTATCTCATAATAAAACAACCAACTTGACCATGTATTTAACTTCGATCTTGTTGTACACACCAATACAATTCATTGTAAAAATACACATGGTTGTCAATGTTAAAATATTTTTGATCACTAAAACCTAAAACCTACATTTTTCTAGTCATTCTTGGGAATCTTCAAAGAGTCTAAAGAAGGAATATATTGTTGCAACTGTTCCTCCTTCTAAATTACTTAATCATACAAAGTAAATGAAGGAATAAACAACAATTGCACATGTAATAGTGGGACTTTGGCAGGTTTTCTGTAAAGATTGTAGCTGCAGTGGAGAATAGTGGGGAAAAACCATAAACAAAAAAATGGGTGTGCTTTTGGTTGTGCTTAAGTCTCGGAGTAATATTGAATATTATTCATATTTCACATTGCATTGTGAATTTAAACAGGCAAACAGTAAAACAATAAAAGATAAAGTAAAATGATTAAAGGTTAATTATGTTTTTACCTCACTCAGACAAAACCTGAACTCATAATTTGTTTCAGGTATGATAAATTGCTTTAAAGATGGTTAGGATCCCATTTAAATATTATCTTGTTAATTTGTGCTTGGAGATCATCAGTTTATGGTCTGGACAAAAGACAGACCTGCTAAGGGGTTTTGGCCAGTTGTGCCACTTATTTTAGAAAGACAATAAATATGTTCAAATATGCGGTGGGTTAGTTGATCCGGTTTTTGCATTCTTATCAAGTTTACACATATTATTATACACACAACAAATTTTTGAAGATTAAGCTCTTGGACCACTTAGCAATTATCCTATTTTAGCTGTATCACTACAGCTCTTCAAAGAGTTACCATCTAACTTATGGCTGCTTCATCAGATTGATGCTATCCTATCCTCACTGTGTTATATTAGGTTTGTCAGTCTATCTTTAGTCTTTTCCTTTTCAGATCATTAAACATGTGTACCCTGCTCATTGTGATGCTGTTTGTTTACAAAGGGTATTTAAGAAATATTTTTGGACTTCACAAAACAGCTGCATACCTAACAAGCTTAAATGAAACACTGGTGAACTCTCTTTTTTTTGTCAGAGATGTTTTATGTTGTTCATTAAGGTATAATGCAAAGCAAATTAGTGCTTGTCATGCTAAAATGTGTAAATTTGTTTAAGGACGATAAATACTTATGCAAGATCACTGTATGTTGGGCCGTAATAGCTGCATAGGAACCATAGCTCTTTCAGCTGCTGTCCATGGTTCTGAAACTTTATAGCCAGCTGTTTTGAGTGTGGTTTGAAAGAAACTCAGAAAATCCTATCATCCAGTCTCATAATAGCTTCCGGTTTGCTTAAATATCTGTATCTCACCTTTGCATTGGTTCTCATCCCAGGGGTAGACACAGTTTTGCATGCCGTTACACACTAGAGTGTAGTTTATGCACATGTTACTGTGACAAAAGAAGGCATCGTCATCACAAGGAGCTGCAAGGGAAAAGAAACAGTTATGAAACACTGAAATCGAATAGTTCTCTAAGAGAAACATAAAAATGTGTGCTACATGATTAAATCTGATGAAACAAAAATTCAATATTTTAAAGGAGTGAGTATAAGAATCATTTGTATTTGCTAATGCACAAATTTGTGTTTAAAGTTACAACAAAAGAGAAGCTACAGAGGGGCAAATGTTGGAGAAAATATATTTAGATCAGGATTACTTAGACCAAACTTGTTTCCCCTAAACATCTTTTTTTCCACAAATCTTCAGAATTTACCTCTTCAGAACATTTTCTGTGACAATTTAAGGATTGAATGAATATATCACCTCATTTTCATAACACTTGCATTAGTTATGGGACTTTTTAAGATCACTCATACAATAAACTGTAATAAAAAAAATGTGGCTACTTTGAATATCTATTATTCTCTAACTACTGCAGCTTTCATTAAAAATTGATGGGGCCTGAAGCATATGATATACTATGCCCCCTGACCTTCTGAAGAGGTGAGAGAGAGAGACGCAGCTTAAATATCATCACCTTTATGTGACAACTGTTTGCAGCAGAGCCTTTTATTAGCATAGAAAACAGGAGATTAATGAGAAATTGTTACCAGCTAAATCATCATATGATAATACACTCACACCCACATGAGGTACACCTGTCCCATATGGAAATATTTTTGGTGTTTTTATTAAATTAAAGAAGAAAGGGAATTTGAAAGAAAAAAATTATTTAGAAAGTCAAATAAATGTATTAGAGAGACCACATTTTTACACTGATAGCAAAAAACAGATGTCATTTGAAACTGAAGAAAACGTTTTGAGAGTAAATATTTTTTCTTTTATATTTTGTATAAAGATTATTTGACATTTGGAAAAGGATTTCCGTCGGAAAGAAAGCTCTCTCTCTCAAAAAAAAAATCTCTCTCTCTCTCTCTCTCTTTATATATATATATATATATATATATATATATATATATATATATATATATATATATATATATATATGTGTGTGTGTAATTCATTACTCTCAAATATTGTTTTTTGCTATGAGAATAGACTTCTGGCTCAAAACTTTTTTTTTTATCTCTTATTATTCTTATGGACATCATTAACAATAACAAGCAAATAATCCTTGTTGAACTGGGACTACATCCTTCTGTAAAAAAACTCCAAAAAAGTTTATTTTTTGATTTTTTATTAAATTAAAGAAGAAAGGGAATTTGAAAGAAAAAAATAATTTAGAAAGTCAAATAAATGTATTAGAGAGACCACATTTTTACACTGATAGCAAAAAACAGATGTTATTTGAAACTGAAGAAAACGTTTTGAGAGTAAATATTTTTTCTTTTATATTTTGTATAAAGATTATTTGACATTTGGAAAAGGATTTCCGTTGGAAAGAAAGCTCTCTCTCTCTCTTTATATATATATATATATATATATATATATATATATATGTGTGTGTGTGTAATTCATTACTCTCAAATATTGTTTTTTGCTATAAGAATAGACTTCTGGCTCAAAACCTTTTTTTAAATCTCTTATTATTCTTATGGACATCATTAACAATAACAAGCAAATAATCCTTGTTGAACTGGGACTACATCCTTCTGTAAAAAAAACTACAAAAAAGTTTTAGGCAATGGCTGAAATTCTTTATTATAAAACCTAAAACATATAAAGATGCGTATATTTTCATCTCTTACGCAGTGCATTCCACAAAATAATGTGTTCTTGTTTAACTTCATGAAGTGCTCTCTGCAAATATGCCTTCACATACAGGATTCTTCTGTTCTGCCTAGGCTGCTAGTTAACTAATTAACCCAACAGAAAATTTGTGAAGGTCTCCACATATCTCTACCGAAAACAAAGACAGACAGTTCGGAAGTAACACATAATCTTAGGAAATAACGTGCCATTTCATCATTTAATGGAACATTTGATGCACACATATGTATTTCATGGCATTTTTATTTATCTTACTATTCTAGTAAGTAGACTACATACTGTTAAAAATACAACCCGATGTCCTATCGGCAAAGGATGCTATACAAACTATTAGCAGCAATAAATCTTAAAAAATATAGTGAATTTCTCCCAAGTAACTCCTGACACAAAGACATAATGGATGGCTTTTTTTGGTCATTAGTCTTTTGTTAAAGAGGAGATGTCCTTTTCCTTCTTCTGCAAGTCATATATATAGTCCATTTTTATCTCTTTCTTTCACCTCCCTCTCACAAAACACTGTCACTGGGACTTTCCCGACAGTTTTAGCACTGTGATGCATGGCTGTTTTTATTTCAGCTCTTATCCAGATTAAGACATAACACACCAAATTAAAGTGACTTATCTCTTCCTCATTTTCCCAGCAATCTGACTAGACCTTCGGCATAATTTCCTGAATCAAACTATGCTCTCGCTATGTATTCTAATACTCTAATTTCCATTCCAAAAAGCTCCTTAAGTCTGCCCATTTGTCAGTACACTGTATGTTAAGCCTCTGACAGGTTGTTCCAGGTAGTAACCCCTAGAGGGAGCCCATGTCATCTCTTTTCGACACCTTCTATTCTCTTTTATTCTTTACAGGAGTGAGACCAGACATAAAGTACTCAGTCTGCTCTAATCTCCGACCAAATTAATTTCAGGACATTTGTAATAAATGTGCTCTTTTGCCCAGCAGTAAATTTTCACAGTCGCTGGTGGAGATGTAAAATTAACTCCTAGATGAGTGCCTGTGTCATGTAATGTGCAGTTGGAACAAGACCAAAAGGCTGACACAAACTTAGAATGAGCATAATGAAGAATTAAGAACAGAAAAGAACATACATATAACAGTTCACAGCCCATATGTTGAGTCAGTATATATATATATATATATATATATATATATATATATATATATATATATATACACAAAAATACAACTATTATATAAGTATATTTGTGTTTTATATTTGTAACAAGATTTTTTCCACGTGTTGAAATTAGAAAACATTTTTCAATGAGTGGTTTAAAAAATTATGTAAGGCATATTACCATGACATTATCACAGCTGTCCTTGCTAAAGCTCTACCAATGCATAGATGGAAGCTACCATTCATTCCACTGTATTTACTATTCAGCTCATTCTGTTCACACTTCCATCGGTTGTAGCAGGCGTCCAGTGCTAAAACACATTAATATCTGTGTAAGTGGTACTTAAAGGGGTTTGGGAAGCTCAACCACACCTATTTGCTATTTCTAACGTAACATAATTCCTGCATCAAGTTATGAGTGAGTCTATGATGTTGTGAGTGAGTCTATAATGAGGTCTCTTTGTAACCACATATTTAACTTGGATTTGCTTGTTATCAATATATTATCAAAATTACTTCTTTCTAATCTTTAGATTTATTAATTCCTAATTATTCAACATTGTTTTTAACAGCTATACCACATAGAGATGGAGGGTGTTATGTATTGCATTCATGATGAATTTACTATTGTAACTTCTTTTGAATGCTTTATTCCTTTTAAGCAAAAATACATGGTTTCTTTCATCCCTCTTTCAAACCGTCTGTCCTCTGTGTCCATCTAAACCTTTTGGTTGTCAAAGGTGTGTCCTTTGTACCTGAGCAAGTTAACATCTTAGTTTAGCCCAGGGCTTGGTTAGGTGGAGGGGCTTCCATGTTTCAGGGGAGTGGCGGCCTAGTGGTTAGGGCATTGTGCTTGAAATCCAGAGGTTCTGATTTCAAGCCCCACTCCCACAGACTGCCACCCTGGATCCCAGAGCAATGACCCTTAACCCCACGCTATTCCCAGGGCACCACACAATGGCAGCCCCCTGCTCCCCAAGGGGACGGGTTAAATGCAGAGAGTTAATTTCGTTGATCTGTACTTGCCAAAATTTAATGAAAATAACAGCTGGGGAAAAAAAAATTAAAATATTGCTTAAAGACATCAACACAAACTGCAGATTGCTCTAGTATGAGCTAGCAGAATTCACAAAGATTCCTGGATAGTAATATAATATGATATGATAGTATTACAAAAATAAGTTGCAATGTTATGAGAATAAAGTCACAGCAGAATAAAGTGATCAGATTATTATTAGAGGCAAACTACCAAACAGCAATCTGTGTTCCGTAATACACTAATAATTTGATGCTGATGTTCTAAAACAGAGGTCTTCAACAGGGGGTGCGCAACCCCTAGGGGTTCCTCGGAGATACTGCATGAGGGTCACAAATTTTACGTTGATTAGACTTTTTTTTGTATTCCCCCTGCAATTTTTTCCACTACTTGAAATGTGTTTAAATACACATTAACATGAATTCAACACACTGCAGTAAACAGGTAAATGGAGTCAGAAGGTGTCTTTCAGACATCAATGCACACATTCAGTGACACACAGGAGTTCTTTCAATCTGGGCACCGTTTTATTCACAACACCTGTCCCATCAACGAGGAATCTGAATCAAAAACACTTTAATAATCTCAGGGCGAAATTACTTTCATTACATGAGTCCATCTGTAATAGAGTGACTATAGGACAGGTTCGATATAACACTATTTCATACAATACATATAATTAGGGGGTCCCCGCTCCATTTCGCCATCATTTTGGGGGTCCTTGGCCTGGAAAACATTGAAGACCCCTGGTTTAAAAAGTTTAATATTTCCTTATTTGTAAAACGATACGAAATTATGACTTAACAAGATTCTCAGCAGTCCTCATATCAAATCAGAGGATGATAGCAAAAGAGTTTTATAACATTAAACATATTATTTTCATAATATTATCACTTTCATCTCGTAATATTCTCTAATTAATCTGGTAATATTATGACTGTATTCTCATAATATTACCATTTTAACCTTGTAATGTTACAACTTTAATGGTCCATATTATGATTAAAAATTCACACTATAAAATTTTTGCCTCTCTCGCTGCCTTATTCCTCCTCTTAGAAAATGTGTGCTCACAATGCTCTGTTTCAAAAATATTGAATATTTAAATAACCACTCCCACCCACCTAAGTTTTTTTGGTCACCGATACCAAGCATCCAAACAGATGTGGCTAATGGGTCATTTTTATTCTGCCTTCATCTGAGCCACTAAAGACACAGAGGATAGATTTAATCTAATGAAAATCCACCTGATAAACCTAAAGCATTTCAAAGAGGAATACTTCACAACATGGGTGCTAACAAAGCATGCTTCTCCACACACCCTAAATCGAAGAGTGGATTGGTATCAACTGTCTGTTACAAAGCTGCAAAGGTAAGAACTGAACAGGACTTTACTGTGTTGTACTACTTAGCCCATAAACATGGCAGCATTGCAGCTAACATTTATGTTATCAGCTTTTTTGATAAGTGGACAGTCTTTATAAGATGGATAACCTTCCTATGCTTGACAACCAGTTTTTTTCTAATATGTCATCGGCAGTAATTCTTATCATGTGCTTGTATGAAATTACTCTTGTAAGTAGTACCTCAGTTCAATACAGGAAATTGAGTGAGAGATTGAGGAGATTGAGAATTGTCTGCATTTCCGATGGCATAAAAGAAATTTGTGTTATTGTTTTTATCAACAAACTTGTATGGCGATGAGCAACTATGTAGTCAAGCTGCTACTGTTATGTGTTGTTGTCACTTATAATCTGCTCAGAGGGGTCTATAGCAGCTCATTGGTTAAGGTCGGCCTTTGTCTTCTGTATAATTCAGCTCTCCGAGCTACCATCACTACAAACGCTGACTGGTTGTCATGGTTGCGGGGTGTGGGGGGCATGGCCATTGGGAGGGCGAGGGCGTGTAAAGCCAAAGCAGCTTGTTTAGAGGAGGGCTGAATGGGGGTTCTGGTACAGACTGTCTGCATAATTTGAGAGGAATTTTCCTGCATGGATGGCAGAAACATGCTCTGCAGAGCTCATTGTTAACATTTTTTTATTTTCAAATGTAGTATAATATAAGACCTTTAATCTTGTAATATGACGACTTTATAATGTAGGTCTTTATTCTCATAATACTGTATAATGACTTTATTTCTTAATTCTACAACTTTATATTCATAATATTACAGCATGTCAAAAACAAAATTTAGCCTGGCCCTAGTACACCGCTGTAGCAGTCTGGGGTTTAGTGGTTTCCTCTGTTCCATCAAAGCAAGTGTTTTTGCTTGTTACAACACAATTTTATAGATTATGCTTTCCTAATAACAAACCTCTAGTTTTTACAAATAACCAGAGCTTAAATGCCCAATTTGACCTTGATGAAACAATCAATTAATTTTGCCATTAATCTTGCCTTATCTAAGAAGTAGGAAAACACATTAGTCTCACTGCAGAGCCTTGTAATATAACAAGCGTATACATATAATATAATCTGATCAAAGCCAGGCAAAAACTCATGTCACTAAGATATAAAAAGTTGTTCAAAGAATTTACATACAGTGTTTGTCTCAAATGCAGCACAGCACACAACAAAGAAGCACTTCAACAGGAAATAAGTGATGTGTGTAAAGAAGCTAGAGCAAATTTCTATCTGCAGCCTCTGAGATTGTTGCAGATGAGGTGAAACAATGCTGACAGCTGAGAGACACATTTATCACATAAGACATAATTGATTCTCAAATTAAGTGAGAGTTTACTGTATTTTAGCTTACATTTGCAATCATGAACTCTGGCTCTGCAAAGCAGCACTGTATGTAAGTGTGGATAGCAGAGGAAGGTCAGTTTGAATGAAGGAAGCCGTTTGCTTTCATCAACATCACTCTGCACGCAGGAAAATCTCAGTGGAATTCAGCAACTGCAAACAGTTCTCTAAAAGCTGTTTGTTCCACTAGGAATAAACAAACAAAATGTTTAAGCTCAGGATAAGCTCTGATGTATGCTGCCAATGCAGCCTCTAAACCTTTCTATTTTGAGTTGCTGGACTGTTTTTTACATTCGTACATTGTCCATTCATTATTTTTTTTTCTTTTGACCTCATTTAAATCTATGCATCAAGCTGAGAAGCCCATAAATGCATATACCACCATTAAAGAGCCAGAAACCCTAAAATCTTAAGAATATTAAGTATAAATAAAAACAAGTCTACATTTTTGTTAAAAACAAACCAATCAATTAATAAGAACTGATTTTTTTAGCACCCAGAAAAAAGGAATCATTAGAAATATGTTATGCCCCAGGATTATGAAACAAGAATAATTTTTATTTTAAAGGGTGAAAACAAGGTAATATGAGAACACTACACGATTAATGGCAGAGCGAGGACAAATACATTGATCAGGATGAAACGCTTTTTATCTCAGTCACAACCACAGCAGATATCTGTGTACATTAGCTTTACAGAGGACAAAAATACCCCCCAAAAAACCGTTTTTTTCTTTTTGTTTTTTTCATGAGAAGTAATTTGCCACTTTAGTGAATTATTTGACCAGGCTTGCAACAGATATCTTTGAGATCCAGTCATACGAAGACGGCTTCTTTGGTTTTAAGCTACTACTTTTAAACAACATTTCTCATAACTCCATCCTCACTGAATAAGCCACTATTTTTGTTATGAGTTCAACTGCTTGAACTCCAAACATGTCATCAAAGTCACATTTGGTCAAGATTGCTGGCTCCTTTGAACCTGACCTTTACTTAGCGTGCAATTCTTCTGATTTCTAGGTTTTAGTTCTGATATTACTATTAAAACACCGAAAGCTGAACATAGTTTAAAAGAAAAGGTAGCAGAAATGATCATACATGCCTTTTACTGATCTGGGTCCTATTCATTGTTTAAATCTTTTGCAAAAATGCTCACAAAAAGGAAAGACGGCTGGAAAGCTGACTGAAAGATTTTCTCTAACTCTTTCTTTTCCAGAGATCGAACACATCTGTCCATTTCGTTTTGACAGAGTTCTTGTAAAACTGCTCAGCTGTGGTCGATGTTCCTCTAAAGGCAAAGTCTGGCTGAGGATTGGATAAATGACTTAGGATGCAGTGTTGCCCCAGCAACAGCCCATCATGGTACTGCATGGAAAAAAGGTCTTAAATAGGGAAGCCGTCTAAGAACTTCTAGTGCTTTTTGTGTTGCTGATATTTTTCAATGTGTGCTACCGTAACAACTCTTTAAAAAGCACTGTTCAAATGCAAATATATATCTAAATGTTTTAACAAGGTAAGCTGAAATATTTTACTTCTCATAATATAAAAAAGTACTTTCAAACAATATCCATTGTACTGAGAACTTTGTTTTTTGTCTTCTTTTATTTTGGCCAGAAATGTAATTGCTACTTTATGTTTACCTTTTATATCTGTTTCCAAACATTTTCCCTATTTATTCTGCTTGATTAAAGTAAGTAAAGTGTTTTAAATCAGTGTTTGCTTACGTTCTTGGTAGGTTGTGAAAAGAATACGGAAGCGACTCTTGCGGCTGAGCTCATCTGCCCACATCCGGATAACTCCCAGTGTGGACACCAGCATGATGTCGTTAGCCACAGTGGAACAGAATTTGCTCTTCAGGTCTTCCACCGAGCTTAAACAAGACAAAAAATTACAAGAAAATACATTTAATAACAATATAGAAATTCATGCATCTGTTAATAACATGAACTGCTCAGTGGGAAATTGTTTACTTATCTACAAGCTTGCTTTAGACTTATATTTGTTTTTAAGTTTCAGCTAGGTAATTGAACAATTATCTCTGAGGACATTGGTTTCTTTATAAAATCTGATTTTTTTGAAGGTGGGGACATAAAACAAAAAAGGCAAAGTTTGAAACACACTCACATCTGTCAATCAAAAATCAAAATCAATTGAAAATCAATGAATGTCTCGTCTTGTAGCTTATGATGAAGACATGTAATACTAGAGAGAGAAGAAAGACTATGTTAAGCAGCCAATAGAAGCCCTAATGAGAATCTTTTTTTAAATTTATTAATAAAAAATCATAACTCTGATTCGATGCAAAGCTTCAAAGCTTTTCCTATTTGGAAATAACAAACTCTAGTTAAAAATATGATACATTTCAAATTATCATATTGGGGAAAACTATCTCACATATGTATTTTTGAAAAGGACATGAATCCCCAAATATTTCTAATAATTACAAGCTTTGCCTAGAAGTGAAAGGAAAAGTTGCTTATTTTCAGGCCAATTTTCTCTTAGCCAATTTCCTTGGATTTTTGCAACAGTTGCAAGATATATCTCTTGTTAGGTCCTGTTTTCTAACTTTTATATATTTGCAGGGATCTCTGCTTAACAAACATCTTGACATATTAATTTGGAATTTACTTGGAATTTATAAATGCATTGGGAATTCAAAATGGGATATTTTTATGAATGAAGTCTCATAAAGTATAATGTGAATTTTGTATAATATGGAACCTTAACGACTGGCATGTAATCTCAATATATTTTCATTTAAAAGAATCGACAGGTAAACGGTATGCTATATTGTTGCCATTTGTTTCAGTCAGTTAACTTTATCTAAAGCTTAGTGAAAACTGAGTAATGTTCTACATCAAATGACGAAGTGTAATTATTTTTAAAGTTTATAAACCTTACAGCAGCACTTTTTATGATGTTTTATAATGTTCAGAAATGTGAAAAGCTGAGAAAATGATATACAATGATGTATAACTTTAAAGTTTTACAGTCTCTCCACATTAGTTATTATCTAATTACTAAATTAAATTGTTTAATCGGAAAACACGATTAAACTGATTGCCTTAGTACTAAAAAACATATGTATATATATATATATATATATATATATATATATATATATATATATATATATATATACATACGAATGCATCTGTGTGTATCTGAATATGTTTATGTTTAAAAAGATACCTTCCTCCATCATAGACTGCTACAAAGTTGCGCTTGCATTCGTTGGAGTTTGCCATCTCATAGTCCAGAAAGCGCAGGTAGATCTGGTCAAACAAGAGAAAACGTGAGGGAAAAAAAGGTTAAGGAAGTTTAAACTACTTTGGCATTTTAAATGACAGCGATGAGAAAAAGAGTGAGACCAAAGAATTTTGGTCCTTTCTAACATACCATGTGCTTCTTAGAATGTTACACAATACACGATGATATAGCAACCCCTTAATGTTGTAAGTCAGATAGACTGTTGCCAGGAAAATGTCCAAGATATATCCATTATAGAGGAGGACTTATAGACAGATAATGCACATTTGAATTTGATGTTGGTTTTTTATTACAATAGCGACCCAAACAATACAATGTTTAAAAGGGAATAAAAATAAACAATTTTCCTCTCTGTTTGGTATAAGACGTATCTGTCAGTTAGAAGAAAAAAAAAAGGTCACCAACTTTTGGCAAAATACAAACTTTTTTTAGACTCATTGAACTCCTACATTTTGTGAAATTATCAAACAAGTTTCAGTTTCAATCTTCTAAAACCCCAGAAAAAAAACCCTATTTAATACACCTTAGCCCTTTACAGTGTACTGTCAAAGTTTCCTGATTGCATATCCACTGATGCCTCTAATCCATGTATCAGGCTAAGATCAGAAACTTCTGAGCCAGGCTTTTGGTTTGTTGTGCACCGCCTTGGCTATCTTTCCAGGTTAATGAGTGGACAACTTTCTAACTGTGACAGGGAAATGTGACATCTTTAAACGCCGAAAGACACAAGCTCTAGACAGGGCAGGATAATGGACTTCGCAATGACAACCTGGCTTTGACAACATGACAAATGTAATGCATTGGGGCAAAAAAACAAACTAAATACTTCTCCTGGGGTCTCATATCAGGGTCAATAAGCTTTCATTGAGCCAGAAATGCTCAATGTCAGCTTCTCTGTTCTCACAAATACATAGCTATATTTATACACAAAGACAAACATGTACACTGCCTTACAAATATAGCATAATAACTTGATATAGTAACATATTTTTTTTCCTACTTTATTCTATTATAATCACAAATGTCAAATAGGCTTTTGGAATTGTGTATAATGGATAGGAAATAGATGCCAATTATGGGGTAGAAATAGAAAATACTTAATATTTTGATTAAACTACAGCACCCCATATCCAGCTCACCTGATTGTAGTACACCTTAGTGTAATTCAATTTGAGTATAAATAAAGCTCTTCTCTGAAGGCTTTAGAGGTTTATGGGAGAACATACCGTAAGTGAAGAAACAGAACTATGCAGACAAAGAAACATATCATACACTGGAAAAACGATCTAGAAATAATAAAAAATTCCTTAAATGAAGTGTATTTCCCCTTAATTTAAGTAGGTAAATGGGATAATTTGCTAATGATATGAGTGTTTTTACTCTTAAAATCAGATAATTAGATAACATGCACTTGAAATAAGACAATGCAATTGTTTTTTCTTATTCTAAGTGTAAATTGTCTTGTTCCATTGTCAAAATGTCTCTTTTATCTCCTCAATCCAAGAAAAATTAACTAATATTAAGAAAAATTGCATAGTTTTGGTTAAAAATTGTCAATATTTTATACATTTGCATATAAAAAAAGACAAAATACGGTACATGGCTGTCTACCTAAGTTGAAGAGACAGCAAAGAGAGCATCAAAAAGAGCACAAGGCTAGAGGCCCTCTGGTAACACTTTAGGAGTAGCAGATATTCTCAGTTCTGTTTAGAAATATTCCTTTAACCATTCTGGTCTTCATGAAAGAGCCAAATACTTGTTTCCACTAATATTTCTATTGGGAAACATTTACACACTAAAACACTGGTCGGCATAAAAGGGTTACCTGTAGCACTATAGAAAAAGACAAAACAGAAGAAAAATTATGAAAACAAGAAAATAGTACAGAAAAAAGCTGGCAAAAGTAAGAGACTGCATCTTTTTCCTTCCAGATTCTGTAAGATATTTACCCAATTTATCAGATGTTGCAGTGTCAAAGCTATTGGGATCAGATATCACAAATCCTCTGGCCTGTATATGTCTGAAGTAATCTGTCTAAACAAGTCCTTGTTTTTCCACCAAACAACCCAATCGTACTATCAAAGGCTCCATCCAAAGTTGTAGGGGTAAAAGATGGATTTGCAGATAATGGCAAAATAAAGGACAACCTTCTTAGTTTAAATAGTATTATTTATTTCCAGAATATGAATACAAACACATACTGATTGGATTATAACTGTAATTTATCGACTGATTGATGTGGGCGATTTTACAATGAGTGTCTTCCAAAGCTGCTAAGTCTTGGTCAGCTCCATCTTTCTTAAATTTATCTTGTATCCTAAAAAACTATAGTTTGATTATCTCCAGGAAACCTGGCATATGAGTTCTATGGCTGAAACAAGTACATAAAGATGTGACCTGCATAAAGGGATATTTTGTTAGAAGTGTACTGTATATACTGTGTGTATGTATATATATATATATATATATATATATATATATATATATATATATATATATATATATATATATATATATATATATATATATATATATATATATATATATATATATATATATACACTCACCGGCCACTTTATTAGGTACATCTGTCCAACTGCTCGTTAACACTTAATTTCTAAGCAGCCAATCACATGGCGGCAACTCAGTGCATTTAGGCATGTAGACATGGTCAAGACAATCTCCTGCAGTTCAAACCGAGCATCAGTATGGGGAAGAAAGGTGATTTGAGTGACTTTGAACGTGGCATGATTGTTGGTGCCAGAAGGGCTGGTCTGAGTATTTCAGAAACTGCTGATCTACTGGGATTTTCACGGACAACCATCTCTAGGGTTTACAGAGAATGGTCCGAAAAAGAAAAAAACATCCAGTGAGCGGCAGTTCTGTGGGCGGAAAGGCCTTGTTGATGCCAGAGGTCAGAGGAGAATGGCAAGACTGGTTCGAGCTGATAGAAGGGCAACAGTGACTCAAATAACCACCCGTTACAACCAAGGTGGGCAGAAGAGCATCTCTGAACGCATAGTACGTCGAACTTTGAGGCAGATGGGCTACAGCAGCAAAAGACCACACCGGGTGCCACTCCTTTCAGCTAAGAACAGGAAACTGAGGCTACAATTTGCACAAGCTCATCGAAATTGGACAATAGAAGATTCGAAAAATGTTGCCTGGTCTGATGAGTCTCGATTTCAGCTGCGACATTCGGATGGTAGGGTCAGAATTTGGCGTCTACAACATGAAAGCATGGATCCATCCTGCCTTGTATCAACGGTTCAGGCTGGTGGTGGTGGTGTCATGGTGTGGGGAATATTTTCTTGGCACTCGTTGGGCCCCTTGGTACCAATTGAGCATCGTTGCAACGCCACAGCCTACCTTAGTATTGTTGCTGACCATGTCCATCCCTTTATGACCTCAATGTACCCAACTTCTGATGGCTACTTTCAGCAGGATAATGCGCCATGTCATAAAGCTGGAAGCATCTCAGACTGGTTTCTTGAACATGACAATGAGTTCACTGTACTCAAATGGCCTCCACAGTCACCAGATCTCAATCCAATAGAGCATCTTTGGGATGTGGTGGAACGGGAGATTCGCATCATGGATGTGCAGCAGACAAATCTGCGGCAACTGTGTGATGCCATCATGTCAATATGGACCAAAGTCCCTGAGGAATGCTTCCAGCACCTTGTTGAATCTATGCCACGAAGAATTGAGGCAGTTCTGAAGGCACAAGGGGGTCCAACTCGTTACTAGCATGGGGTACCTAATAAAGTGGCCGGTGAGTGTATATATATAGTATACATAAGTGAATTAGAAATTTTAGAAACACAGCTTAGAAGCATAGCTATTTCTAGTAGTAGGTTTGCATTTGTGTTATACTCTTTCATTTTTTAAAGATGGATTTAACAATGCTCCATTTGATGTTCTAAGTCTGTTTTTTTTCTTTTAAACTAACCCTGCTTTGCACGTATCTGCATCAGGGTAAAGCTGAATACAGCTAATTTATATCTAGCACAGCCTCTAGACTTGTTTTTGGAAAAAAAAAAAAGTTTTTAATGTAACATCCTGAAAGCATTATAAAGACTTGGCAATATACAGGTGCTGGTCATAAAATTAGAATATCATGAAAAAGTAGATTGATTTCAGTAATTCCATTTAAAAAGTGAAACTTGTATATTATATTCATACATTACATACAAACTCATATATTTCAGATGTTTATTTTGTTTAATTTTGATGATTACAAATGACAACAAATGAAAATCTCAAATTCATCATATCAGAAAATTAGAATATTGTGAAAAGGTTCAAAATTGATGGCCCCTGGTGCCACACTCTAATCAGCTAATTAACTCAAACCACCTGCAAAAGCCTTTAAATGGTCTTTCAGTCTAGTTCTATAGGCTACACAATCATGGGGAAGACTGCTGACTTGACAGTTGTCCAAAAGACGACCATCGACACCTTGCACAAGGAGGGCAAGACACAAAAGGTCATCGCTAAAGAGGCTGGCTGTTCACAGAGCTCAGTGTCCAAGCACATTAATAGAGAGGCGAAGGGAAGGAAAAGATGTGGTCGAAAAAAGTGTACAAGCAAGAGAGATAACCGCACCCTGGAGAGGATTGTGAAACAAAACCCATTCAAAAATGTGGGGGAGATTCACAAAGAGTGGACTGCAGCTGGAGTGAGTGCTTCAAGAACCACCACACACAGACGTATGAAAGACATGGGTTTCTGCTGTCGCATTCCTTGTGTCAAGCCACTCTTGAACCACAGACAGCGTCAGAAGCGTCTTGCCTGGGCTAAAGAGAAACAGGACTGGACTGCTGGTGAGTGGTCCAAAGTCATGTTCTCTGATGAAAGTAAATTTTGCATTTCCTTTGGAAATCAAGGTCCCAGAGTCTGGAGGAAAAGAAGAGAGGCACTTCATCCACGTTGCTTGAAGTCCAGTGTAAAGTTTCCACAGTCAGTGATGGTTTGGGGTGCCATGTCATCTGCTGGTGTTGGT